TGTGATATTCGATAATATATTTAGCTAATTAACAAATAATATGAAAAGAATATTTTTTAAAAAAAATTATTATACTCTCTAATAAAACGAAGTGCTAAACGATTTAAAAAAATGAATAAAATACGCAAACCTTTCAAATTCAAGTTGATTGACTTATCTCCAAATCCAAATGACAAAAATAAATTTTGTTTTAACTTTATTTCTAAAAATAAAAACAACAAGATTTATAAAATTAAAATCAGTAATAAAAACTCATTAAATTATTAGAAGTTTCATGCGAAAAGTTCTTAATAAATTAAAAGAAAGTAAAAAAATAACCTAACAAATTCAATTCTTTATGGGCGCCTAAATTAGATTGTCGATAATTTTCACATTTAAAAATAAAAAGAAGTTTTTTAAAAAAAAAAACTTATCTAGTTAATGAAGAAACTCTTCTTTATATATTCTTTTCAATAATAGATTGCCTTCAGTACAAGGTAATATCGGCGATCACGAAGTTAGTTCCACTGAAAATAATCTACAAGAAAAGTCGCGACAAAGAAAAAAAAAGCTAAGAGGTGCGAAAAGGAATAACATGCGATATAACGATATGTGCTCTCAAAACTCTGATTCTACAGCTCACCAATCAAGGCCATTTCAACACAACGAAACGAACATCGTCTTCCACAGCGCGAGTCGACATCGGAACGTAAGAGAAGAGTCTTATATCGCTATATCGTTATCTTATAACCTTGCGTGTCTTGTATCGCTATATCGTTTTGCGCTCGTTGTGTTTACTCGACGGCTTAAATCAGATTTCTGATGCATCGCCTTGAATGAAAGTCGCTGTATCGTCTTGCCGATATATGCGTTAAATCGATATGTCTCGATACATCGATTTATAGCCCAGTCCTAAGCGTAAGTAAACGAAGATTGAACAAAACAACAATGTCGCCAAAACTTTGCCGTCTACATTTTATTACAAGAATATATTAATAATGAATAATTGTATATAATCATTACTTTATGGTTAAGTTGCATTCTTATTAGTTTATATTTGCTTGAAGATGGAATAAAATTATAAATTTGAATATTAGAATGAATAAAATGAATTAATCGGAAATAATATAATGTTTTAAGGGAAAGAACATTCTAAATGTTTATTTATATAAGAAATAAAGCAATTTTAATTTCAAAAAATGAAAAAGTAACTTTTATGCGAAAAGTAGGTCTTCTTTTAACAAACTTGTCTGTGCAAACTAATAAGCCGCAATATTTTAAGATTTTTATTGTAAAATTCAAGCATCAATTTTCTTCCATTGAAATAACAAGGAGAAACGAAAGGTTAAGAAAATATTATCTTTCAATTTGCCCTGTAGTAACGTGGCTTTCTTATGAGGACGAAAATAATCGTGATTTGCGCTCTCTATTACATTTCACCTCCATTTTTGGAAGGCGACTTGGAAATGAAGAACTAGTGCTTGTTTGTCCTTAGGCATCCCTGCCCTGATTTTTTTCCTAAATTTATTTAAGTGCTTACAGTGGCTAGATTTTATTGACTGAAATCCGATAAACAGAAATTCTTTTTCCTATGCAGTTTAAATCATTAATAATGAGCCGTAATTTAACCAGAACCCAGACGTAGCGAAGAAATCGGATATACTTGGTTGGTACAATGTCAAGTCACTTTTAATGAGCGAATCCTTGTTTTAACGAGCACTATTTCTGCGATTCATAAAATTTTTACCTGAATTCCACATCTCCAACTCAGTTAATCTATAACGACGTCGACGATGTCTTTTTGGACCATGACTAGTACACGAAGGACAGTTACACACTAAAGAAAAAATAAGACACTTCAAGGAAAATTAACGATTTTTGTACAATAAAAAAATAAATAAATAACAAAGTAAATACTGTATTTTCAATTTAGTTAGTTGATATGAACTTTTGTGATTTTTTATGATCCCGTTTTTTCTTACACCCGGTTGTAACGAGCAGATATTGTGTTCCCTTAGGAACACAATATCTTAGGAACACAATAGCTGCAATTAGACAGGAGTTCTACCTTATATTTCATTCGATAAAACTTTTAATTATGAGATTATTACTCGATATATTTAACAATATAAGATAATATTGCTCCTACTTTCTTGATTATTTACTAAATATCTATTTTTTTTCCTAGGCTGATTACACGACAACTGGCGTTTACGTGACTGGTTTGATGCTAGATAGACCACCTGCGCTAAGTAAGTCATATTTTTCTCAATTCTAAGTAGTCATAAGTCTGATCTCAGTCACCAGATTTTACCCTTTCAAATAAATATTTTCTCTAAACCAGTCACCACAGCAAAGGACCATACTTATCTTATATGATGTTGAAAAATATGGCTCACTGAAGTCTATAGTTTTTGAAAAGATATGCAATTAAAAAATCATATTTTATAAATTGTGCATAACTCTAAAACCATTTTTTTACCTTATTAAAATGAAAAAGTCATTTGAAATAAAATAAAAAGAACATAAATGCAGAACAGAATTTCATGAGTTAAGAGCCTGCATGCATTTATATGGAAGCTTTTCTGCGAATAACTGTAAATCCATTGTGGAAGAAGGTTCATTAAACTTATTTTTCTACTTTAATTCCGTTTCTATTTCTATTTTCTTAATTATTTTTCTATTTCTATTGTAAAATTTCGACTTTTTTTCTTAATTATATTTATATTTATTACTTCATTAACTCTAAAACCTTTTTTTTACCTTATTGGAATAGAAAAGTCAATTGAAAAAACATTAAAAGAACATGAATGCAGAACAGAAATTCATGAGTTGAGAGCTTGCATGCATTCATGTGGAAGCTTTTCTGCGAATAACTGTAAATCCATTGTAGAAGAATGTTCATTAAACATATTTTTCTATTTTAATTCCGTTTCTATTTCTATTTTTTAATTATTTTTCTATTTCTATTTTCTTAATTATTTTTCTATTTCTATTTTTTTTTTAATTCTATTTTTTTCTTAATTCTATTTATATTTATTACCTCATTAACTCTAAAACCTTTTTTTTACCTTATTGGAATAGAAAAGACAATTGAAAAAACATTAAAAGAACATGAATGCAGAACAGAAATTCATGAGTTGAGAGCCTGCATGCATTCATGTGGAAGCTTTTCTGCGAATAACTGTAAATCCATTGTAGAAGAATGTTCATTAAACATATTTTTCTATTTTAATCCCGTTTCTATTTCTATTTTTTAATTATTTTTCTATTTTCTTAATTATTTTTCCATTTCTATTTCTATTTTTTTTCTTAATTCTATTTTTTTCCTTAATTCTATTTATATTTATTACCTCATTAACTCTAAAACCTTTTTTTTTTACCTTATTGGAATAGAAAAGTCAATTGAAAAAAGAACATGAATGCAGAACAGGAATTCATGAGTTGAGAGCCTGCGTTCATTCATGTGGAAGCTTTTCTGTGAATAACTGTTTAACAATGTGGCGCAAAATGTTCATTAAACACATTTTTCATACTTTTTTTCTATTTTAATTCCATTTCCGTTTTCTTAATTTATTACATTTGAGTATTTTTGTGTCCATGTTTAACTGAATTAAGAAAGAATGCAGAAAATTATTGAAACTAATGAAGAATCGGCATCAATAAAAGAATTGTCAACACTTTGACGCAGAATTTTTCAAAAATATATTTTCATACTTTTTTTATTATTGTGTACTAATGTAGGTTCAACTAAGTAAAAAATATTATATTTAGCATTTTAATGATTTATGGTTATGACATACAGCATGAAACATCGGTGTCTTTTTCAGTGTTACTGTGGGGGTCGCCAGAAGTTTTTTGGGGGTCGCCAAATTTTTATGAAATGCATTGTCCCTGCATGCTGCATACTATACAGTGTACATATAAAGATAGAAGCCCCGTCACTCACTGTTTAATTGCTATTTCATGCTGTCCACTCTTTCTTTGACAGTAATGCGTAATGTATTCTCCATCTGGCTATTCGTGGAAAAGCAATATCCCGTTTTATGCAAGAATGCCATCAGAGTGTTAATACAATTTGCATCAACGTATTTATGTGAAACTGGATTTAGCAAACTAGTTTCAATAAAAACTAAATACCGCTCGCGTTTAAACCCTGAAGATGATATGCGAATTGCAATTAGCAACATACATCCAAACATCGATGAGATAATTAGAAACTTGCAGCCACATACATCTCATTAAAGGGCAATTACTGATTTTTGTGTTATACAAAAAGTATTTTCTTAACATTATAAATAAAATTAATATGAGTCAAATATGATGATGTTTTTATTCGATGAAACGAAAGAAATGCACGAAATATACATCGTATTTGTGAACATTTATCTCTAGGGGTCGCCAAAAATTTTCTCTCTGCAAAAGGGGTCGCAGTCGAAAAAAGTTTGCGCACCACTGAAATACAGCATGAAACATCGGTGTCTTTTTCAGTGTTAAAGGTCAAAATATTCAATTTGTCTCATTTATTATTGTTAGTCTCATTTAACGTTTTTTTTTAATTCTGTTTCACTGTTTTTTTTAATATTTTGTTTGCAGTGATATTTAAAACAAAGAATTTTTCTCTCGGTCAGCAAGAGGTACGTATATTTCCTCTGAGGGGGAATGAGTAAGAGGTATTTGATTTTCATCAAGGAAATATTGAAGCTTGATAGAAAGGGAATATTTTCATCAAGGAAATGTTGAAGCTTGATAGACATTTTATTTAGAATTCAGACACAATTTTTTTCTATTTTTTATTAATTGTAAATTCAATTACACAAATATTGAGCAACAAAAATCTGTATCCTTTCAATTATTAAATGTGAGGGGGCTAAAGCCCCCACTGACCCCCCTTTCTGTCGTCCCTGCCAGTCCTTGTATGTGTGTATTGTATTTTTAGTGTCATTACGAGTCAAAATTGTTTAGTGGATTTTCATAAATTTATTTTATAGAACAATTTTGGTTGGAACGTGAGGGAGATGTTACAACAACTGATCCGAAACTTAAGGTTGCACCTGCTGCTGACACCGCAGAAAAATGTGCATTTGCTTGCGTAGAAGAAGGAATGTTCTGCTAGTAAGTGCACAACTTTTCTACTTCTACTTTGAATATTTTGTTAATAAATAACCAAACATCAGTAAAACAAAAGATTTGGATCGTATTCTATAGATTACTGTGACTTTAAAGGAAAACACTACGATACATTTTTCGAAAAAATAAACATAGACAAAAATTGCAACTAATTAATATTTTACGAATTAATAGTTCAATTAATGCTAATAACTAATAAACAGTGAACTAATTAATATTGTAAGCAAACTAATTAATATTTTTATTAATTCGGCAATATTTAATTTAAAAAAAGAAAAGAAAAAAAGAGTGGAACGCAAATTACCCTGACCCTCCTTTATTGGACTGAATTCATTTTTATGAACAATATTATTATGAGAGCAACACACTTAATTCAATGTATGGCAGCAGTCTTGCATTGTAATCATTATACTTTATTCAATGTACATCAACTTCTATCATATGTACACATGATAGAAGTCTTTTACTGTTATGACAATATATTAATAGAATGCAATTATTTCTACATATAAGTGATTAGTCTTATTATCATTTTAATATTCATAAAAATGGAACAATTCTATGCATACAGGATAGAAGTCTTTTACTGTGATAATATTGTATATGAAATACAATATTTATTTCTATTCATACAGGATAGTAGTCTTCTACTGTCATGATAATATTGTTCATAAAAATACAAAAATATATTCTATGTATACATGATAACAGTCTTTTACTATCATAATAATATTGTTTATTAAAATGCACCGATTAGTTTTATGTCATAATAACTGTCTTTTACTGTCATGATAATTATTGTTCAGAAAAATTCAACAATTATATATGTCATGTATACAATAGGTATACACGACATACATACATAAAGTACGCTTTTACTGTCATGATAATATTCTTCATAAACTACAACAATTAATTTTATGTATACATGATAACAGTCATTTACTGTGATGATAATATTGTTCATAAAAATGCAACAATTAATTTATACATGATAGTAGTCTTTTTCTGTCATGATAATATTGTTTTTAAAAAATATTGCACTTAAGTCAATGCATAATAGCTGCTTGCCATGATAATGCTGTTCATAAAAATGTGCAACTTGCATTTATGTGCAGTGGTTATACAATTATGTCTGCCTATTTAAATAATGTTTCATATTTTCATATAGTGGTTTCTTTTGGTGCAACCAAGCATGTTTCTTGAAATTCAAAGATATCCTGGAACCCGATGACGGAGGCGACTCATTTGATTTTGGTGGAACCTGTCAGGAATGGCTGAGTATGAAAGCTATATTCATCACATTTTCTTGCCTAAAAAAATTTGAATTTATTTTTAAAGAAAGTAATATTTCATAAAGGGGAGTCAAATAAAAAACGAAACCTTTAAACACATTCCAGCAGAGGACTAAACTGAGTTGAAAATTAAATTCTCGGTAACAAAGGGATAGAGTGGAATGAAACAAACGGTATTTTTATTAAGAAAGCTGTAGAAGCTTTACGTTTTTGAATTTAGTTATTAAGCTTGCAGACAGACGGCGCTGCAAGCCATTGGTGAACTGATCGAATAGTTCGTAAAAGGAGGTTTACGTACACTAGTAGGAGGCTTAAACCAGGTATTCCTTTGAACAACGTGTGTTTGTATTGGAATATCTCTGTCCCATGGCATTTATATATTTTTTCAATTCATTATTTAACCATCTGTTGGCAACTTTCGTCACTAAACTTCAAAATTTCTTTAGGAAATTTTTACAGCTTTCACAATAGACATACAGTTTATTTCATTCCTCCATCCTACTTTGAGTGTGGGATTTTATAATCTAAAATCATTAAATCATCCGCTGCATGCTCTACATATTCTACATACTTACCCTTAAGAGGAAAGAAATCTGGTACCACAAGGCATGTAGGGCCGAGAGACCAATTGACAACCCAGTCGTGCTATCTTTTAAAACTTCAAAATTCAACTTACAATTAAATTGCAACGTTGACAAAAAAAATCAACAAAATTTGATGAAGAATAGCACAAATCAAAAATGCAGTCAGTTTACAAGAATCTTCAAAGTATAACAATATCCTGACGACAAAACATGTTCGATATGATATTGTGGCCACCATTGTCCGTTACCGTATGGAAACGTGAACTGGCATGTTTAAAGCAATATTACGTCCATGGCATGACATGCTACCTTTAAGTTGGGAGGCAGATAGTACGGTGAACTGAGCTTATTAATGTATCCCTACAGTCAAGTCTGGGGATCAACGAGGCCAAACTAAAAGGAAAAGCGCCGTTTAGCGGTAGTTATTGGAGCTCCTTTACCCAATTTCCATAAAATTTTTCTGCATAGGTAGCTTTTAATAATGATACAACTATTGATATCACTTTAGTATGTATCAGGTTAATTTGAGTTAAAAATCTAATACACATATTAACGTTAAATTAAGAATTTAATGATTTAAAATATTCTTGATTACATATTGATACCATAACATTAAGTAATCCAAAAGGGGGAAAGAAGCTAGGATTACTCACCAGGGCGTCATATCTAAATCTAGTCACCTTCCAACAGCTAGGCAAAACTTCTACTGCCTCCTAAATGGGTGCAACCCCTACAACAAGAGGGAACTTCGCCAAACTCACCCTTTGGCTCACTTTATCGATGTTTTTGGCGCACTTACTATTTTGGGGCAATAGATACTGCTTGAATCTTGATATTTTTATAAGCGTATATTTTTAAAAATTCTATCCCTGAATTATCTTTACGACTTTTTTAGTGAGTAAGCTAGGTAAAAAAATAACGAATCATAATATTAGATTATGTAATTCCTTTCATTTCTTTATACTTTTAGGAGCTGAGCGGGACTCGAACAATAAGGAAGCATACCTAAAAGATGCTCTCCAATCTTTAGAGAAGACTGTCCTGGATAATCTTGTGAATGTTAGTGTGCCATTAGACGACAATATGCGATCCTTCGTAAGTATTCATTACTAATAATTATTATTGAGTAAGTATCACTAATGGGACGTAATGGCTCAGAGATGGAGAGTCCGTCTTACAATGAAGAGACCCGGATTCGAATTCCAGCAATGGCTGATCGATACGAATTCCGCACCTGGCTCGCACCGATCACAGTGCTGACGTGAAATATCTTCAGTGGTAGACGAAACATGGGTTAGAGTCCCCTTGCCGCCAAACTAACCGTGGGAGGTTTTTGTAATTTTCCTCACCATGTAGCATGAATGTGGATTAGTTCCATCAAAAAATCCTCCACTAAGACACATTTTTCAACACTTGATCTAGGAGTAAGCATGTCTTTTGGACTGGATTCAGTATTACAAGTCTACGGATTTGAACGTTGGTAAACCCAATAATTTGATCGGCTGATCAACGACGGCTATAAAATTAAATGATTTACCGTCGAGCCTTGGTGGCTTCAGAGATAGAATGTTCGCCTCTCAATGAGAGGACCCAGGTGCGAATCAAAGTGGTGGCTAGTTAATACCAATTCTTCTCCCGTCTCGAACCGACCACAGTGCGATCGCACAGTAAATTATCGAAACTATCGTCAGTGGTGAGCAGATCATGGGTATGAATCCTCCTGCCATCGGGATAAAGGTTTTCGTGGTTTTCCTCTCCATTTAACACAAGTGCGGGTTGGTTCCATCAAAAAGTCTCCTATAAAGGCTAGTTAGTCCCACTTCTTGATCCAGGAGTTTTGTTTGTTTTCTAGGTTGTGTTCAAAATTACAAGGCTATGGAGGTGAGCATTGTAAGATTTCAATTCCGTAAGATTATTAACTCTTCATTTTAGTAAACAGAGACAGAAATAAATTATAACACTTATGGAATTAAGCGCGCCTATCTTGGCGAGTGGGGGCCATTTTTGGGAGAGGAGATGTGGAGTTGGTTCGAAGAAGTTGAAATGAGAACACGGACTTTTGAACGTTCTCTCGCTCGAGATTTTTATATATTATTTCATGTGTTGAATATGTGTGTGTGTATTTGTTTGTGTTGTGGAAACGAAGAGTTTGAATAAATAATAGTTTCCAACCTGGACTATTTATTTGTGCCACACATTACAGCATTCATAGTCGTTAATTCAGAATTGTGTCAACTGTTCAAAGTTGGTTATAAAGTAAAATAAAATGACTAACCATTGGTCTAGCCGTGGAAGTTTTTCGCGTATTTCCCTTTCATGGGAGGCGAATGAGGATTAGTTACAAAAAAAAGCTCTTCTCGAAGGCTATTTTCGTTCCGTCACTTTTTTTCAAGTAGATTCAAAATAATTTTTCAATCAGGTTCAAAATAATTTTTTTTAATTGGAATTATTTTCAAGTAAGCAAGTTTTAAAACTGATTTTAAGAAAAAACATTTTTGATTCATAGTTCCAGAGTTGTGGCTTATTAATACGCAAAAAGTGAAATTTACATACAATGAAATCGCAAACTTTCATCAGCTCTTCATGCCTAAAACATAAGAACCCTATTTTCTAGATTGCGGTTACGCCGACATTTTAAGGGTCTGAAATCCAAATCCACCGAAATATCATCCTCACCAAATAATTCGAATTTTTAGGTAAGGTCCTTCTAGCATTAATATCGAGTCCTAGTATGTAAAAATCCAATCATTAAATCAAAAGATCAGAAATATTTTTTTCATCACACTGAATATATTATAACGTGAATTTAAAATAAACGAATAAGGATTTATTATTTTACATATTTTAAAGCTTGCTTACATTGCTTGTATATATAAAAAACGAAAGTCGAAATGGAACATCAGATTCTTGTTGGAACATTAAAGTAGGTTTAATTTTTTTAAACTTTTAAATGATTTTAAAATTGTTTGAAAGTTAAACAAAGTAATAAATAATTTTAGAATGTTGATGTCGCTTTTTGTTTTTAGCGTTAATTCTTTTCCTAACTTACGGAGAAATATATTAAGTTGGTCTTTTAATTTCAGATAACTGTTCCAGTATCTGATATTGTAATTGGAGATGGTCCTTACACAGGTAAGCTTATTAAACTAAAGCTATTCATGACATATTGTGCAACATGAAGTGGAAAATGCAGAAAGCTGTACAATTTAAGATTGTCCGCATAATCACCGGTAGTCCGCATAGTTTTTATCTGTCAGTTCCTGTCTTCATTTACCTATAATTTTTTTTTAATAACCACACTCCGATTATTTCTAATAATAATTATAATAATACTTATAATATTAATTATAATATTAATTATTATAATAATAATTATAATAATTATAATATTAATTATAATAATTATTATTATATTAATTATAATAGTAATAATTATAATAATTATAACGATAATTATAATAATTATGATAATAATTGCAATAATAATAATAGTTTAAGTTAAATACTTATATCAATATGTATAAATCTAATTACATTTTAACATATAGACAATTAATTTCTAAAGGCATACAATCAGAAAAAATATATTAATCTAATGTTTTATTTAATGATAAAATTGTTTCCAAAATCATTAATCCATTAAAATATTTTTTCAAAAACTAAGTTAGTTAAACTTAATAAACTTTTTTGTTATTTTTAATTAATAAATAAGAAATTATAAGTTTTTATAGTTTTTTAACGTATTGTAGGATAATTTTTATGGTTTATTTCTTCATATTGTGCTCATGAAATAAAATTCGTTGGACTCAAATAATAAAATACTTATCTAACATAAATCAGCAAAAGAGGTTAGTAGCATTCAATTTCATTTAATTTCGGGTAATTCCTCATTTAAATTAAATATTCATACCAACATGGATAAATCCAATTTGAAATAAACAATTGATTTGTAAACATATACAAGCAGAAAAAATGATCTTAAACTATCTTTTTATTTAATGATAAAATTATTTCAATAAATAAAACATTTTAAATTTAATTATTTTTTTGCATTGTTTATGCATTATTCGAATCTAGCTGGTTGAAGACTACCCTTGTAGTAAATGGTGACTGGTGCACGTTAAATTTGTCGAGTCACAAAGTTCTCCATGTTCTCATAACAAATTATACCTCTGGGGGTATTGAATTGAAGATTGATCGCTCTCTGGTTCAGGTCAAAATTATGATCTGTAGACGAATGAATGGATGTGTAAATGGGTCGACCCATAGATGGCTCCACTAGAAAAAAAAGAACAATCGCACCCCTTTTGCCTCAATGGCGGACGACAACAACAACAATAAACATCAATTCAATTTTTTCAGGTATTTCTGGCCAAGATAAACCATACAATCTTGCCATAAGCTTTGCAAAGATGGATCCAGGTGATGAAAGCACAGAAGTCTTATCCTACATTGACAATTTGAACGACTGTTACCTAGCCTGTAAAAACACTGAAGACGTCGCTTGCTCCAGTTTCTCCTACTGTCCCGATTCGGACAACAAACAGTGTTCACTCAGTTCAGTTCTGGTAGTGGACAGGAAAAATAACCCAGATGACACGGTGGATGACAAAAACTGCTATGTTTACTCAAGTAAGTGCATTTATATTAAAAAAACATTTAGAGAGTTAGACTTAAACACATAGAATAAAATAGAGATTTTATACCCATACGAATAAGATCTTATATACATATAGTAAAATAAAATAAAGATTTTGTGTGTGCATATCGGATTGCATAAGAACCGTATAGGCTCTAAAAATAAACGTTCTAAATGAAGCTAAATGAGTACAACTGTAAACAAATTACGAAGCCTAATTTTAGATCTTTTCATTAGGGACATTAAAGAGATAAATTCATTGGGGGCATTAAAGAAATAAAATTTTCTCATTGGTTTAGTGGAAGTCATTGTTTTAAAGTAAAGCTATAAATGATTCAGTTTTGTCAAATGATTCAAGGATAATATCAATGATGTTTGCTAGCTTATAGATCCAATTAAAAAGTTTTTTAGTGGAAATACTTAAATATTTTTATATCCGTTATGCCAGGTTATCTGAATGATTACCGTGATCTTTGTAGCATAGGCGGACTACACGACCAAATTAGTATTCCTAAGATTACCTGAAATTAAGTGTTTGTGTTGTTTATAGTTACGTTTTGAAAACTTGTTGCTATAAAGCTAAATAATTTAAAATCAACGGTAATTGAAATAAAAAAATAAGTTTTGTACTGAAAACCAAAATTAATGGAGGAATGGTGCAAATCCGTTAAAGACAGACGTAAAAAAAATTGCAAATTTATTATTTATGCCAGTGTTAATTAATTTTGGTAAAAGTTTCTATTTGTAATAAAATAAGAAGCCAAATAAGTGCTGTAACATACTGAAATGAAAAATTAATGCAAAAAAAGATACTAATTAGTTTCAGAGCGCGTAAAAATTTGTCAAAAATAACTATTATTGAAGTCAATGATGCTCAATTACTTTTAGTAATAGGTTTGAATTCAAATTTAAAAAAATTAGTTGTGTGCTAAAAAGCAAAATTAATGGAGAAAATGTACTTATTTTTCACGGAGAACTGTGTCTAATCAAGCTGATCTCCAAAAGTGAACCTAGTTTAACTTATCACTTACCACAAACTTAATTAATTACATTCGAATATTTTTGTGTCCATGTTTAACAGAATTATTAAAAAATAACTCAGAAAATTAAAAAAAAAACTAATAAAAAATCGACAAAAATAAAAGAATAATCAAGAAGTTATCTTTTAATTTGACCAAGTTTATTTAGCCAAGTTACTGAGTAGCAAAAGCATGTTTTTTTTTGGCAATTTTTTGTACCTCTTCGCTAAATGTCAAAAATTTAGATGAAATTAAATTAATACTTCATCCTCTTCCCATTTTTAGTGAAATATTTAGACTACTACACCGCTTATCCCGGAAGGTTGTCTCTAATTCCTGGAGCAGATGTCTTCGAAAAAGTGAAAACTGTAGAGGAATGCGCCAAGAAGTGTCGCACAGCCAAAGATATAACATGCAGAGGATTCGAGTACTGCCAAAGCATGAAGACATGTGTCTTACATTCCAAACACGTTTTAGACCTTAACCCGGGAGAAGTAATTACCAACAAGAAATCAACATGTATCCATTACGCCGGTGAGTATACACTTTCTCTGATGCGTCACACAAAATTGACTACTTGGCCTTCAATCTTAACTGATTAAAGGTTATGAAGTACACGCCAAGGAGAAATGATTAAATGAATTGGAGAGATTACATAATGTGTCTTCGTAGTAAAATGGAACTATTCATAAAAACTAAACTTTACGGGAAATTCCATGACATTAATCATAAATTTACAATGTTTAATGCCGAATATTTCTGATTTATTAATTCAAGTAAAAATTAAAATTTCAGTTATTGTAGTCCAAGTAAAATTGAAATTACAGTTATAATATTGCAAGTAAAATATAAATATCATTTATATTAGTCCTAATAAAATTGGAATTTCAATTATTAGTTTAAATAAAATCGGAATTTAGTTATCATAGTCCAAGTGAACATTCATATGACTCATTCATTATTTACATGATAAATTAAAATTTAACTTTATGGGAAATTCTATGACATTAATCTTAAATGTGTAATGTTTAATGTCAAATATTTCCGTTTCATTAATTCAAGAAAAATTGGAATTTCAGTTATATTAGTCCAAGTAAAGTTGAAATTACAGTTAGAATATTGCAAGTACTACTATAATACAGCTTAATTTTTCTCACAAAAATAGCACCTTCTTTAAACGAAACGTATATTTACGAAAAACCATATTTCACTACTTTTCCGCATGTGATAAAAAAAAATTTCTGTCCCCAATTGTATATATTAACCCTTTCGGCTAAACCGGGACATAAGTACCCCGATTTCAAAAACCAGGTGTGGCACATGTGTCCGATATTTATTCCCTGATTACCCAAATGTTTAATTTTTTTAGTTTATTTTGTTAAAGTATCATACCTTATTTGATCTATTAATATCGTAATTTGTCTTTTTTATCAAAAAAAGAAAAAAAACTGGGCTTGAAAGGGTTTGAAGGGCAGTGAGAATACTTTTTACACTATTACAGCTACATTTCTTAATTTAACCTTTCATTAAAAACTTTATTCTTTTTTTTTCCATCGTAGCCAAGTATTCGGCTGATTATTTTGATTTGGGTCTTGTGTTGGTGGATGATATCTTGGATGAAAGGTCAGAAATCTCTTTGGAAGATTGTGCCAAAGCATGTTCCGAAGAATTCAAAGACAAATGTAAGTCTTTCAATTACTGTCCAGCATCGGGTCCTTACATGACAGACAGCGCATGTTCTCTCAGCGCCATGACACTTAAAACTCCACGCGTCCCAACCACCAAGAATGCACCCTGCCACCACTTTGAAAGTAAGTAGAAGCTTTTTAAATAACCTCTCTAACTTGATTTAAAATTTCATGTACTTCCCAAAATATGACGACTGTAATAAAGGTCGATAATTTACGAGCGCTTAAAAATAGGCCATCATTATCAAGACATGTCAGACGTGAATGAGGAAAACAAAGGTGATTTGAACCAAAAAACGTAAAGCTGCTAAAGGGGAAATAATTTAAAATATGGATGAAGAACAAAGCTAGAAAAACCTCGGTATCCAAGAATGAGAAATTTATGAATAAATAAAAGTGGGAAACAGAACTCGACGAACTGAAGTGACCGAGAAAGGCAAATCAGGGCAAAATGCATTTCCATGCTCTAAGGAGAGAGGGCAAGGCACTCATGTCGTTAACAAGGGATTTATAACTCGTGATGATTTTCATTACCATCTTCATATTTTTCTAAACAATTGGTTTTTCCCCGGTAGGTATATAAAATCGCAATTGTGGAGAGAAAAAAACGAAAACAGCTTTCTACAGAATTTAAATTTTCTAACAGTGGTTAAAAGGGTGAACTTAAAGACGCTCACATCACCAAATATTCAGCGAGGATGCATTGAATTTTTATTTCTTCCCCAGTAGATTGTAGTTCAGATTGATTTGATTGCTTTCAATAAACCGGAACGTCAAAATAAAAGGTCACAGGAGGTCTCTCCGACCTACAAAAATTTCTATCGTTCAAGAATTAAAAAAAGTTCTGGCAGACATTCAAATTTAAACGATTACTTAAGCAAATGACCTGCCATTTAACGAAATTTGTTCCATTCAGTCTTGTTGTAGGTGAGCATTCTTTTAGAAAGATTAAAATTGTAAAATATGCCATTCGTTTAGGACATGCACTCTCAAAGATAAATTTCTCGCTCTAGACGATTCAAAAATCCTTGAGCAGTATTTCGTTAATTTTGAGAATCATTTCGTCACGAAATTACGTGATTTATGGGAGCTCTCAAATATATGACGAAAATGTTTCCTCAACTCGAAACCTCGTCGTAGTGCATTGTGGGGGATTGTTAACAAGAATGATAAACCAGAACAAGAACTATACAATCGAAAATGAAGTGACGATTTAAGCTAACCGGCTGTGTGGTGGTCAAGAGCATGACCTGACCTCGTACCAAGAGGATCCGTGGTTCAAATCTCGCTCCGGCCATGGGTGTAATTTATTTTCTGTTCTTATTATGTGCACCATCTATATAGTACTTACGATTGAAATATGAAAAATAGAATGACGAAATATTACTTCAATTTTGACGAAATTCGTTTGCTCGTAAGAGTGATGATAGTTATTTCGTCACCTTTTGCTCGGAGAAAAGTTTTTTTCGGAGCCTGTACCAGAAAACGATTTGTTCAAAAACGACGAAAGTTTGGAGATATTTAAGTATCTATTTTTTACAGTGTGGCAAACGGAATATTTTAATATTAATTTAATGCAACGACAATAATAATAATGACAAAATAGGAGTCGTTAGATTTGAAATTTAATCCCGCAAAATAAAAATTGGCCTTCTCGATTGTACAGGATCCGGCATTATTTGAAAATGCTGTTTCAAAAAGACGCAGAACGATGTTTTATTTCTGAACAAGAAATGGAAGTCAAAAGGAAGACAAACTGAAATAAAAACAGTCTGGAAAATTCCACATCAGAGATTTTAAAGATCCGAATTATTTTAAGACGGGCATTGCATCAAAATCTCAGTTGGAAAAGTGCATGGAAGAAAATGGAGCATATTTTAATAAAATAAACAGCTTTTGAAAAAAAGATCGGCAGTTTTATCTCTGCAGTTACCTATATATCTGGCATTTCACGAGAACCAACCTAATATGACCACTTGGAAAAATAATTTCGCAAGAAGTATAAAAAATTGGCAGATATATGATTACTTGCATCCAAAGACATATCACAAGGAGACTTGAATCCAATTAATTCGTCTCCGTGATTCAAATTTCAGCTCGCGAAACGTCAGGCTCATTAAAAACTAGTAGATTAATAGTCCACAGATGCTTAAATCCCTGAACAAAATTTTCAATTGCTGCTGACTTATTGTAAATCTCGGTCCCTAGATTCGAATCATAGTATTGAGTGATAATCAGGCCAACATTTGCAAGTTTCCAAATTTTAACAAGCAGTCGGTGGGGGGGGGGGATGATATGTTTTGGCAGTCACAAACGTACAAACCATCATTCTAGTTGCTCGTGGGAAGTCTGATTTAGTTAAAAAGTAAATTCGCTACCATTTTTCTCATTAACGTTAAGCAGGAAAATTAATTGATCGGTAGGGCGCTGGGCCCATGTCCGAAAGTTCGTGGGTTCGAACCCCTCCGACCGATCCGTGTTGTAAAGTGATTGATGCACGTTAAATCTGTCGAGTCGCAAAAGTCCTCCATGTTCCCATAACAAATCAATACCTCTGGATTGGAGATCGATCGTTCTCTGATTCAGGTCAAAATTACAATCGATGGATGAATGAATGGGTCCGCCCTATAAACGGGTATGACGTATGATGCGGCAGAAGTCGAATTCTTGGTCATAGATGGCGCCACTTCAAAACAAGAACAATCACAACCTCCCTCTGCCTAAACAGGCATACGTCAACAACAACAAATTGATTCTGTAAATAAAGGATTAAAATCTCTTCTTGGATTTAAGTTTGAAAAATATTTAAAACTTCATAAAAATTATTGCTTTAATTTTTAAGTTAATCTATGTAACTTGAAATTAATTTAAACATATTAATGAAGTCCTCATTGGGTACTAATGATAAATTGTAAAAAAAAAAAATGCAAGAATTAAAAAGTGATAGCAAAGGTCTATTTAAAGCAAAAAATTGCATTCAATAATTTTTCTGTTTTAGCTATCACTTCAATTTCCGAAAGTAATTAGAGAAGAACAACTAACCTAAATTATGGTTGGTGGTTGGTTGGTTGGTAACCTAAATTATACTCTGTGTAAATGTGTAAATAGAATAAGCGCTTCAAGGTTACGCGATTCCAACTCTCCGTTACCATGGTTTTGGCCAATCTTGCTTTTCCCCACACGGCAATATACATTTCAATAAAAATTTGACATAGGAGAAAACAAGATATGTCAAGACCCTGGTAACGGAGACGGGAAAGTGCGTAGAGAGTTGGAATATCGCATAATCTTAAGACGTCTACTCTACTTACAAAGTTTGTCTAAAGAATACTGTATAGTTTATCTATGGGGAGACAAACTCCAAGACCGTCTGCTTCTATGGAAACGAGGAACAGCGTATTTCAAAAAGGGGAGCTTCTCTTTCCTCTGATTCGAGCCAAAATTTGTCTTAAATATTGATCCAATACCCCTATATAAATAGTTAAGCCTCGTAACCATAGTCACCGCAACTGCTTCAGACAAATTTGAGAGAGGAGTTCTTTCCATAGACAGACTAAAAATATTTGGTGTATTTTGGTACTTTAACTTGCCAGGTACTAATTAAAAACTAGCATAAGGTTTTCATCATTTTTTTTTCTAAGCAGATATCAAAAATGTGATTGTTTCATAAAACTTTTGTATTCATATGTTTTTTTAAAGAATATTTTTAAATAAATTTAAAAAAATTTTCTTCAGAGAGGAATCAAGTCGATGATTGGGCAAAAGCAGGCAAGAAGTCATTAGTCACAGCCGGATACACATCAAGTGAGTTTTTTTTTAATTATGTTCCATCAATGTTTAACTTAACTGTAACCGTCTGTATATAATCTTACTTATTACCCAAATTCAATTTGTTGTTACAGCTTAACTCTAATAACCAGGGAGATTATTAAAAAAATATGCCGTCACAATTTCGATCCTCTGAAGAGGGGATGGCTCACCCCACTTTGGTAGAGCACTTCACGGCAGAACAGTTTAACGAGGATTGATACCGCACACCTTCGGTCCTTTCACTGTCTGATCAAAGTGATCACCCACCCGCTCAGTGACTTTACTTAACTTCGGTGATCTACTGGAAATATAATAAGACAGACTTATACTTAACCGTTAAGTTACTGACTTAATCTAGCCTTAATAATAAGTTACTGACTTAGTTTGTTAGTTATTCTGGTGAGTTTCTGACTCAAATATTCCAAGTATATAGTTCTCCACGAAACCAATATATATATCTATTTTTAATGAAGATGACTAGTCTAAAAATTCTAAAATCTGCTTGCTTACCAAAGGAAATGAAGGGAACTTAAGAGCTATTTTTTTAAACACCTCCAAGTTTCCTCAATTAACCAAACTGGTTTTGGTGCATTTCTTCTCGCGTTCCTCACTAGTGCTTCGGCAGATTTCAATAGTGTTTTTTGCCTGCTCTTTACTCTGATGTTTGAGATCTCCTTGATTGTGAAATTTTAAAAACGGTACTTTTATTAGTGGAGGTTTATACTAAAAATCTTGAATATTTTTTAAAAAAATTCTGCAATTTCGTTTAAAGAAATTTGGTTTCAAAAAACAAGAACTATTTTTTTTAAGGAATTTTAACTGGGCCCTCGAAACTCTTTGCGCAGTTACCCTACCTCCCAAACGCCTGGAAACGATCAAGCTTTCAATTTTAAACTTTCAAAGTTTATCTTTAATTCTTTAAATTATTAAGTCAATTTTTTTCAATTACTTGAGAGTTTTAATGAATTTTAAAAATTATGAAGCTAACATACATAAGAAATTCATCACTCAATTAGAAAATTCAAACAAAGATTATGTAAAAGAAGGAAAAAAAGAAAGATATTACACTCATATGTTACAATTTTTCCTGTGACTAATTCGATTTGAATGGGGGGAAAAAATTATAATAAGATTTCAACATACTAGTTCACTAATTTTAATTTTGAAATTTGTTTTATTACAGGTCAATTTACTTGGCTTGTTGTTGGGATGTTAGCACTTGGATTCGCATTAGGGGCTATAGGATTTGTAGTCTATTCCTACTTCCGGTCAAAAGGGTCAGAGTCAGGAATGACCGTTAGATTTATGAAGCAAGGTAATTTATAAAATGAACTGATAAATTAAGCATCTGTAATATAATAGTCCTTACCCGAGGACAGAACACCGAGGTTTGTAACACAACAGACTTCCGTATTCGTAATGTACATTTTTCTTTATTTTTGTACTATGTGTGTATGTGCTATGTTAAAATAAACATGTAATAAAAAATGTTGAATTTCAAATGTGTCTCTTTTTAATTATAAGAAAATCAGGTATTTTATAATATAGTTTTAATTATTATGATTTTAATTTTATCCGAAAGTACGATATTAAAGAATATAATTAAAAAAAAAAGAGTATAAGAAAAAAGAAGAACAAAAAAAGAAAGAATTTAAACGAAAAATTAAAAGCTGCAATTTTCAAAAAGAATTAAAATATCTAAAAAAACATCAAAAAAATTTCATTTTTGCCAGACCTAAGCGGAAAAATCGCGACAATTAATTATTATGTTATTAATTGGATACTTGCACTATCCGCACTAGAAGAAGATCAGATACCCACACATGTGAATGACGGCAGCGCTAGCTGATTGTGTTGAGTGTTGATTAACGTGAATTAATTAAATATATCACCTCGTATAGCACATCGAATTTGTTGAAAGAATGTTTGTGAAAAAATATGGAACGTGCCACTTAAGAGAATTGATACTTGACGGACTTGACATACTCGAAATAGAATAGAAAAAACAGTTACTAACGTGAACAAATTCCACGTTTCAACAACCAATCCGGATTAAGATACCCACACTACGTCACGTGCAGGTATTCCATAAAGTGATTGTGCCTAATCATGCGAATTAAATCACATTTAATTGGATATTTGTGAGTGACATCACACATGTGTGTCAAATCGTGGCATTTGTCGATTAAGAAGCCAATCTGGATCGAAAGAAATCACTTCACTTCTTTTCGAGTAGCAATTAATCAATCATCGAAATAAATTTCGATCATCAACGAAAATTCCATCTAACAAAACAAATAATTTTAGGTTTAACAAAAAAGAATTATTATTACTTTTCTTTTTTACCCATCGGGAAAATGCGTTTTGTTCTAAGGTTTTTCATGCCTTCACACCTTTCGACCAGATTAATTTCCTCGACTAGATCAACTTCAACACCTTAATCTCAACTAAAGAGTTTTTAGAGCCTATAAAAAATCAGGCTAACCTAAGCATTAATTTAAAAAGCTACACAACAAGATCAAATAAAATAAAAAAGAACAAATGATAATTTTAAAACTTTATTCATTGACGTCAATAATATTANAAGAGCTATTTTTTTAAACACCTCAAAGTTTCCTCAATTAACCAAACTGGTTTTGGTGCATTTCTTCTCGCGCTCCTCACTAGTGCTTCGGCAGATTTCAATAGTGTTTTTTTTTTCCTCTTCTTTACTCTGATGTTTGAGACCTCCTTGATAGTGTATTTTTAAAAACGGTACTTAACTTAACTTAATGGTAAATTAATGGAGTACTAATTAATACTAAAAATCTTAAATATTTTTTTAAAAAATTCTGAAATTTTTTTTAAAGGAAATTTGGTTTCAAAAAACAAGAACTATTTTATTATAAGGAATTTTAACCGGGCCCTCGAAACTCTTTGCACAGTTATCCTATCTCCCAAACGCCTGAAAACGATCAAGCTTTCAATTTTAAACTTTCAGAATTTATCTTTAATTCTTTAAATTATTACGTCAATTTTTTTCAATTATTTGAGAGTTTATAATGAATTTTAAAAGCTATGAAGCTAACGTACATAAGAAATTCATCACTCAATTCGAAAATTCAAACAAAAATTATGTAAAAAGAAAAAAAAGAAAGATATTACACTCATAAGTTACAATTTTCCCTGTGACTAATTCGATTTGAATGGGAGAAAAAATTATAATAAGATATCAACATATTAGTTCACTAATTTTAATTTTGAAATTTGTTTTATTACAGGTCAATTTACTTGGCTTGTTGTTGGAATGTTAGCTCTTGGATTCGCATTAGGGGCTATAGGATTTGTAGTCTATTCCTACTTCCGGTCAAAAGGGTCAGAGTCAGGAATGACCGTCAGATTTATGAAGCAAGGTAATTTATAAAATGAACTGATAAATTAAGCATCTGTAATATAATAGTCCTTACCCGAGGACAGAACACAGAGGTTTGTAACACAACAGACTTCCGTATTCGTAATGTACATTTTTCTTTATTTTTGTACTATGTGTGTATGTGCTATGTTAAAATAAACATGTAATAAAAAATGTTGAATTTCAAATGTGTCTCTTTTCAATTATAAGAAAATCAGGTATTTTTTAATATAGTTTTAATTATTACGATTTTAATTTTATCCGAAAGTACGAAATTAAAGAAAATAATTTTTAAAAAAAAGAATATAAGAAAAAAGAAGAACAAAAAAGAAAGAATTTAAACAAAAAATTAAAAGCTGTAATTTTCAAAAAGAATTAAAGTATCTAAAAAAAAAAAAAAACATTAAAAAAATCTTTTTTTTGCCAGACCTAAACGGAAAAATCGCGACAATGAATTATTATGTTATTAATTGGATACTTGCACTATAAGAAGAAGAAGATCAGATAACCCACACATGAGAATGACGTCAGCGCTAGCTGATTGTGTTGAGTGTTGATTAACGTGAGTTAATTAATAAGTTAATTTGAGTGAGATTAACGTGAGTATAATATATCACCTCGTATAGCACATCGAATTTGTTGAAAGAATGTTTGTGCAAAAATATGGAATGTGCCACTTAAGAGAATTGATACTTGACGGACTTGGCATACTCGAAATAGAATAGAAAAAACAGTTACTAACGTGAACAAATTCCACGTTTCAACAACCAATCCGGATCAAGATACCCACACCTCGTCACGTGCAGGTATTCCATAAAGTGATTGTGCCTAACCATGTGAATTAAATCACATTTAATTGGATATTTATGAGTGACATCACACATGTGTGTCAAATCGTGGCATTTGTCGATACAGAAGCCAATCTTGTTCGACACACGTATGACGTCGCTTACAGGTATCCAATTAAATCTAATTTAAATCGCATGGTTAGGCATAATCACTTCACTTTTTCTCGAGTAGCAATTAATCAATCGTCGAAGTAAATTTCGATCACCAACGAAAATTCCATCTAACAAAACAAATTATTTTAGGTCTAACTAAAAAGAATTTTTTTTTTTTACCCATCGAGAAAATGCGTGTTGTTCTAAGGTTTTTCATGCCTACACACCTTTCGACCAGATTAACTTCCTCGACTAGATCAACTTCAACACCTTAATCTCAACTAAAGAGTTTTTAGAGCCTATAAAAAATCAGGCTAACCTAAGCATTAATTTAAAAAGCTACACAACAAGATCAAATAAAATAAAAAAGAACAAATGATAATTTTAAAACTTTATTCATTGACGTCAATAATATTAACGTTTTGTTACGTTTATCCTCTACGAATTAGTAACATTTCTCCAATAATTTCGCTTTACAGTACATAACTTCTTTTTATTTCAATTACCGTTTATTTTTATTTTTATAGTAACACGCTTTAAAAGCATAACTATAAACAAAATAAACGCGTGGTTTCAGATAAGCTTTGAAATACTAATTAGGTGACGTAGTCCACCTATGCTACCACGATTACGTTGATCATTCAGACAATCTACCCAGCGAATAAAAAATAATTAAGTATTGCAGAACACGCAATGAACAATTCTTTCAATTCGAGCTAAGCTAGGAAACATCACTGATGTTATCTTTAAAGTATTTGTCAAAATTGAATCACTAATAGTTCATTTTAAAACAATGACTTCCGCTAAACGAATAAGAAAATTCCATTTTTTAAGTGTCTTTGAATTAAAAAGAAAATCAAAACTTAAAAATTGGGCTTCGTAATTTGTTTACAATTGCACTAATTTAGCTTCATGTTGAATATCGTATTTTTAAAACCTCCAATATACCCACAATGCGGTATACAAACACACAAATTCTTTATTTTATTATTTGTATAGATTATTAAAATATACAATTACAGCTTGGCTTAATTTTCTTATTTTCATTCATAACTTATTGGAAATTCTCTCTTGATTCCGGAAAGCTGATTTTTTCCCTCAAATGTTTATTTATTTAATTAAAAAGCCATATATATAAATATGATTGATATGATATATATGATTGAAATTGCCCAACATATATTAAACGTTGAAATATTAAGCATTGAAATTGCCCAAAAAGGCTTCTATAAGTGATGCAATCAAAAACGATAACTGATTGGTTATGACGTCACGTGTGCTGAATGGAAACGTGCCTCCTCCATCCGCTAAGGCTATTTCAATACTTTTTGATACTATTTCAATACTAGTTTTGATATCACTTATATGGTATGAACATCCTTTGTATCGCATGAGCATCCTTTGTACCGTCATTGAACCGCCGACCAAATTTTTGGCTTTACGACTACTAAGTTTAACTCCGTGGCCTTTTAATTTTGAACCCAATCCAAAAGACAAGGGAACTCCTAGATCAAGTATGAGGAAAGATTTGTCTTCATGCACAACTTTAACTTAAGAACTAACCAGCACTTGCGTTACTCGGGCACCAAAATCACAAAAACCTCGATTATAAATATAATAACCAAATAATTTGTCACTTCCTTTAATATTTAGCGCATTGCTGAATTTAAAGTCCAAAAAAATTAGGTTTTATTCCAATTGTTCTATGAGAGATCTTTGTTTGTGTGTTTAGAACTCGTCTGCAATCTGTAGAGGTGTCAATCGTCGAATTTTCCCATGTTTCTTCACATTCTGCTTCTATATCATGACATCACGTTTTGTCATTTTCTTGAATCTGAGTCCACTTCATGTTGAAGGTTTTGTGCTATCTTCAGTTAAATATGTTTCACATGTCCTTTGGTTTGATATTTAGCGTAGGTTTGAAATGTCAGAAACTATCACTCCAAAATGTTGTTGTTTTTACTGACATTTGGGCAAGATAGGCTTACCAACCATTAGCTCTTCGCAAATAAAGTCAAGAAAGTGCGCTTTTCGTTTGACAAGAGAGAACCACAAGGGTGAAAGTACGTCAGTCTCGGATCTCCACGGATACATGGCAGCACCACTGAATCGTGTGGTCATTTCCTAAATTTAGACAAAGATCTAAAGGGGAAAGAAATTTTCTTCAGATCCCTGTACGCATGGTACTGCTCAGCGACTGACCACAAGACTTTCGATTAAACAAATTTTTACGATCACTTATAACGCATGTATTCGGTGGATCTTAGAGGAGTCTTAGCGGAGTCGAGGATCGAATCCCGGCCGGAGTCAGATTCTCCAACAACTGGGCTACCGCGGTCTTTTGCTGATGCAGGCGTATCAACAGAATTTATCCTCTTTCAAACTCACAAACAGTTTTGAGTTTGTGACATCATAAAACGAAAACAATTTTATAAAATTCAGAACAATTTTAAATTTGACTAATAGAGTCGCTTACTTTGACATTTTGTAAAATATTAGTGAATGCTTTCTAAAGAATCAATTTAAGAAGGTAAAAAAAAGTGGTTATAGATGAAAAATCATTTGGCTATTGTATTGTCACAGCATCACTGGCAGCGGTTTGTGAACGGGAGGGAGACAAATTTGATCCTTCTGCGAAGGGACCAAGGGGATGTGGCATCAGTCCTCGTTAAACTATTCTACCATAAAGTGCTCAATTTTGCACGTAGCACGTCGAGTTACTACCAAGGAGGGGGAGTCATCCTCTCTACGAACGATGTAAATTGTGGTATATAAATTGCCGTTGGATAAGAAATTTATTTTAATCATTCCTATTTTTATATTATTTCATTTATTTGGTTATTTTGTGTTTTGACTACTTCAATGCTGGTGTATAAGAAGTAAAATAAATTCTGTGAAAATAATATCAAACATGTAAATTTTCTGATTAGTGTGCATAAAGAAATATATTGGGAAATTATATACACATCTATTCGAAAAAGTGCTTCTGATAAAAACGCGTTTAAGGTTACCCATTTTGTACAGCGAGCAAAATAAAGAAAAATAATTTTTAAAAAAATGGAACACCCTGAATAGCTTTTTATCTAATGATCGGATCTTCATGTTTTAGGACTAAATCTTAATGGTTCGAGGGAGTGACCTAAAATATGTGAATTAATTAGTGCAAACGAATATATTAAGTTACAAGAACAGAAACAAAAACGCACTTTCTTTAATTAAAAATACTTTTCTTTCACAAATTTCTGACTCTCGAAATATAGAGAGTAGTCACAATCTAGGAAATATGGTCCCGATATGGAAATATGGTCAGGAGAGTGTCACAATCTAGGAAATAGGAGAGCGGAATGTTTGGACCCTTTAATGTAATTTCACTTTTTGACGTATTTCGCCATATCTCGAGAATTTTTTAAGCTGATCAAAAATTTCTGCACGCAATTATAAAATTCATTTTTCACAAGATCGTTCCATGCGAAAAAAACTTTTTTTAAATGTTTATTATTTTTTATTATTTTACTTGATAACAGTCGTATGAAGATTGAATTGTAAGGTATACAATTTTATACATCATTTAAAAGCATTCCATCTCAATTTCACAGGATGAAATTCAAAATTTGAATTTAAAAACCGTTGGAATATTTTCTGAGAAATCGAATACTTTGGGAGTCAGAAATCAGAATCCGTGGAAAAACAAGTATGTTTATTTGGAGAAAGTACGTTTTTTTTGTCTGATTTCGTAACTTAGCATATCGTTTCCACCTACTGATTAACATACTTGAAATCCTACCCTCAAACCATGAAGATTGAGCCCTATAACGTGAAAATCTGATTATTAGACCAAACGTTATTTAGTGTGGTCCGATTTTCATTTTATACATTTAAGTCCCTGGTGAAAGTATACGACTGGCCTTTAGTTATAGAAAATGAGAAGTTACGAATATTTGAGTTTTGAAATTTTTTTCTTTTAAAATGGCACAGTACGAGGCCTCTTTCTTTCCCTCGATTCTTTCTTTTCCTCAATTTTTTCTTTCCCTCAATTCTTTCTTTCCCTCTCTCTCAATTGTCAAAGGAGTAGAGAAGGGAGGGGGGGGTTCAAAATGTGCTTTTAATCCCCTTTATTTGATTTTTGCATATAAACTGATGTAGGATCCCGTTAAACTTTATTTAATATTTCGGTTTGTCTTTATGAGATCATTTTCAGTAAAATGTCAATGAAAAGAAATAATAATTTTCAAAAGTATATATTTATAATTTTTCTAATAAGAATACAATGAATAAAAATATGAAAAAGACAAGCATTTGCAAAAATATTCCATTAGTATTTTTCTTCATGCTTTTCAAATTAATGTAAGAAGCAAAATTTATTAATGAAGAAATATAATTCCCTAATAACTAATTTCTGCGTTTATAAGCAGTTTTTATTTCAAAGAAAGCAATGAATTAGGTTATTTTAGTCGTGTATTTAGCATGTGTCAACACCAAAGAAATTTCATGATTAAGCTGGCTACAGCTATAGGAAATTTAAGTATCTTACGTAAAATCTAATTTAAGATTGTTGATAATAAAACGATAAAAAAAAAGAAACTTTCCTTTCTTTTATTAAATATTTTCAAATTAAGTAGTATTTTAATGGTTACTTCACAATAAGAGTCTTCTCATTTTTGCCAGGAAAAGTATGGATCATAAATATTTTTTGAAAGATCTGTTGTGGAAAGAAATTGAAAGTGTTATTTCTCAAATTCAGCATGTTGAAAAAAAATAAATAGTTTTTTTTAGAATTTATTGCTAGGTTGGGAGCGGGGGAATACATATGGGAACAGCCGCAGTTTTCTTATTGAGTCCAATAATGCACATTTATTAGATTACCCGCTCCACACTTTTTAACGAAATATTTATGTTAAAAATCGGCATAGGGAGTATTTAATTATATAGAGATTTAAAAAAGGCCTCGTGATCAAACTACTCTTTTTAATTTATTAAAAATAATTTTATTTTAATGGAATAATGAATAATAACGAATTAATTTATTTTAATTGAATAATTTTATTTTAATCTTTTAATGAATAAAATATAACTATGATTATAATTATTAATAATTATAATTTCGATTATTTTTTATCATTAATAACGATTTATTTATTTTAAAATTTAAAAAAAATCTTTTATTTCAGAAAATGACTTAGTTTATTTGTTTATATATTTGTATAATTAATAGAAAAATATCTCACTTACAACAACTAATTCATTTTTTTTATTAATTTATTTTAAATTTTATTTTTATATATTAACTTATTTTTATTTATTTATTTATAAAATTAGAAAGAAAACTAATTCATTTTATTTACTTATTTTTACTTCATTTCATATGTTTACTTATTATTATTTATTTATTTATTTGAAAAACTCATAGATGTGTATTTTTTAGAACAAAAATAAATATCTCTATTCTAGTTTCAAACTTCCAACTTTCAAAAATTACATGATTTAAGTTGTATAACAACGAAATCATACATTTCCATACCTTTAAAAGGGATTTTTTAACTAAGATAATTAATAGGTTTATTTTGAAAAAGGTTATTTGAAATTCCCGCCTGCTGGCAGCTGTGCACTCTCACCTCTTTCTTATCGTAGCCAAACAATAGAAATCTTTTTGAATCGAAAAACGATAACAAGCTGAGAAAAACTCAGGAATTATTCTACAATTTGATGCCCTTGTCCGATTATCAACGAACCAGTGGCGTGAAATTAGAAATATTTTCATTTTAAATCTTTTAATTTAAGAAATTTACTCCTAATTGGCAAAGTCGTCGAACCTAGTTACCTTGCCAATCTTACCTCCCAAGGTTGTTTCATTAATTGTGGCAACCCTAACCGCCAGTTGTTGCGAAGTGAATATTTTTTATAAGTAGCATGAGGCTGATGGCGGTATGTTTATGTTTGTTAAGTTAGAATTGGTGAAATAATATACTCGAATTTATGGATATTAGACGATTAAAAAATGTGAAAGATTTATTTTTAAGTTTCAACTAACAACATGAAAACTAGATCATGCAGGGTAAATGTAATGGATGATGATAGGGTAAGTTTTTCACAAAGATAATGCAAAGTAATTGTAAACAATTAAAGTCTTGCGTTATTGTTTTGTTTGAGACTTGAGTTTCTTTACATGTGGGGTCAATGATCAATTCCTATTCTATAAAATGTTTAAAGATTACAATAATTTCTATTATGTTTGATTTTACGAAAGTATTACCACTACTTTAAGGCTTAAGTAATTTTCTCGCCAATGAAACTTCTATTTTTTTTTTATGAATACGATGTCGGAAGTCCAAAACTAGATTTTCAATGTGATTTATGTCTCATTTCTTGGTAATCTATTGACTTTCAGTTTTGGTTTAGCAGCTTATTTAGCCTTTATAGTGATGAAATTTGTCTTTTATATTCGGTATTATTTCGAAACATTTGTCGGGAATTTTTTTAATGTTATTATTTTAAAATGCATTATAGTTTTGAATTTCTTTGGTATTGCTCATTCTGTAGGGTTTTTTTTTTTAAATTTTAAATGTTTTCATTTAAATCTTTTTTTTTTTTGTTCAAGTTGTATTTTATTATTTTGGTTTACAATAAATGTTTTTATGTTATGTAGCCATCTAAGCCTTTTCTGATTCATTTTGTTCATTTATTTTTTGAAGCTATTGTCTAATCGATTTTTGTTGTATTTTGAAACAGTTCTGTGCAAAGTTATCGGTCGTATGAATCAAATGACACCAATAAAGGTATGACATTAAAATTCTGACCTTATACTTCTTCCTTCTAAGTTAATTTTTTCTAAAATTTCTAAGACAAACTGTGTTGGAAAAACAATATTTAAATATTTTAGACAATTTATGGCTGTTCTCCGCCTACTGTTAATATATTGAAAAACTCAGCATTATTTTTTATTAAGAAATTTTCATAGGTTCCTCAACTTAACTTTGAATCTCGTAGAATATGTGACTAAAATAGGTTTATATCAATTCTTTTCATTTTTAATCGGGGATGGCAAGTATCTCCCACAATGTGAAAAGTGTCCTTAGGAGAAATAGGTTTCTTCCTGCCTTAGATGTAGTGGAAAATATTCTTCTTCAAAAAGAAGTATCAAATATTAAACAGTTAATGATTACAATCTAATGTAGATAGTAGTTTTAATTTTTAAGACACTTAATTTATAATTTTTGAATAAGGAAAAACTAAAAAGCAACAATTGAAAAAAATACTAAATTTTAGGAATTTCTTGAGAATTAAAATAACTGTAATTTTGCAATTTTTTGAGTAAATTATTTTAGTAAAACCTGATTTTCTTATAAAAAACTTAAAATAGCATCATCAAATTTTATTCATATTACTAAGTTAACAAATCACATAGGCTAAACATATACATTACTAAAAAGAATTCTTATTGAATTCACAAATACAAATATAGCATATTATATTTTTTAATTAAATACTGTTAAGTATTAATTCATTTATTTAATTAAATACTCAACTAAAATAACTAAACTGAAAAACATAATAACTAAAATTTAATTAAAAATTAATTCATTCAATTTTTAATTAAATACTGTTAAGTATTAATTATTCATTTTAGGGAGCTGTAAGAAATTGCAAATAATTATTGATCCCATTAAAGCTTAAATAATTATGGTGAATGGATACTGGCAAATTATTAGTTAAACAGAATATATCCTGATTATTCCTTATTTTATTATTAAGGGAAAAAATTCATTGTTTTAGAGATATTTGTAAATATAATTTATAAAACGAAAAGTCTTAATTTATTTGTAAAAAAATATACCTAATAGTTACCTAGTATACTTATATAAATTCCTGTGGTAATAGGTTCTTTTGTAGCTCCTTAAAATGGATTAAGTACTAAAAAAAAATTTAAGAAATAATATGAATAATTAATAAGTTACACCAAATATGTCTTAATTATGTTTTATATTTTATTCTTAATCTTTTTTTATTGTTTTTGAAATATTTGTATGCATGATTTCTTATTCAAAATATGCCTTTTATTGGTAAAAAAAAAAATATTTGCTTTAAAATTTTAAAGGAATTTTTTAAAAAAAATTCTATTTATGGAGGGTTTTATTAGAACGATTTCATATTTTTTTTCACTAAATTTTTTTATTTTTTATTATAGTAAATAGTGTATCCTAGCATCTTTTCAGTTACACATTATTCTTTGGCTGTTATTCCCACTTTTTAAGTAATGTTTCTGATAAATAAAATGTATTAAATAATTTTCCGATGCACCAATTATTCTACAGTGAACTTTTCTAAATTATGCTAAATATCAAGATATGTTCATGTAAATATAGTATATATATAAAACTAAAAATGCTGAGTTTTCTATACTTTTAACATTAAGAGGTCACTATACTGCGGGAGAAACTTTTTGTGGCAAGTTTTTTCCACCGCCATTGGTGATTTAAAATATGAAGAAAGAAAAGTATAGAGAAAAAGGGACTTCAGGTAAGCCTAGAGTAAATCATGAAATTCCAGATGCTGAAAAAATGTTTTGAAAGTATCAAAATGCAGATAAATTGTTGCAGGTTAATTATTACACTGTGCCATAGTTTGTTTGCAATTTGATGTTTCTAAATCATTTTTTTCAGCGAACACATGAAGAATTTCTCCTGCCGTATAGGGTCTTCTGAAAGGTCAACAGTCTTAAATGTTGCTTGCTATCTAATTTCTTTTAAATCTGAGAAGACTTTTAAGTGAAAGCTGAAAGTTTCCAGAACTTTTTCCCAATCCGTTAAATGATTGGAATTCAATATTAGTTAATGTTTATTCTGAATACTGAACTTTGCATGAACTCTCTTTGCATGTTATATTTTACTCATTATTTTATTTGAAATGTTTGTATTGAATGTAGATGGCACTAGTATTTATGGTTTCTTCAAGAATGGCACCCATTACAAAATGGTGCGGCATATGTTTTTCTGATGCCACATCTATCGATATTATGGGTTGTTTATAGGGTTCTCACCAGCAATGAAAATTTAGTGACCCAATAGGTTTCCCTTTTCATTTGTCTTTCAGAACATAAATAAACAAGTTTTAGAACCCTTGTTGTCTCCCGCCAGCTTTGCCGCTGGTCTAATTTCATTGTGGTTGACAGTTATAAACAGAGGTGTTATGGAGGATAATGCATGTTGATTAAAGAAGTGATGTGAAATTTTTTAATTGCCAATAACTTTCCATTAGCTGTATTGAAAATGTGGTATTTAACAAGCATATTTCAATTGTACCCTTTTATTTTATGTTTGTTTTTAAAGCTTATTAAAGCCTGAGCTTAAGAATGTAAATAATGAAAAAGCCAAGAGTAATTTAGAATATTTGGTTTTTTGTTATTTCATAATCTAATTTATTTGTTATCTAACTGACGAATTGAGTCTTGTTCTTTAACAAATTCATAAAAATATTGAGCTTGAATAAAAATTTAAAAAAAAAATTTTCAGTCATTAAATTGTAACAATGTAATTAATGTAATGTAGCAATTTTTAATCAATTTTTTTTTTACTAATATCAAGTTATAATTTTGTTTTTAGTAATATAAAGAATTATTATTATATTTGTCCGGAGCTTTGATTGTTATATATTTAAAAAAAAAAAAAAAAATCCTTATATTAAAAATAAGATTTTTGATTTTTTTTTTCCAATCTTCAGTTAAGGTGCAACATTGTTCCCTATACTTAAATAAGAACAACAATGTATATAATAAATAAGTATTTACTTAATAGTAAAATAACTACTTTACTAAAAGAAAAAAATGCATTGGTACGGAGATGAATTGNTTTGATTGTTATATATTTAAAAAAAAAAATAATCCTTATATTAAAAATAAGATTTTTGATTTTTTTTTTCCAATCTTGTGTTAAGGTGCAACATTGTTCCCTATACTTAAATAAGAACAACAATGTATATAATAAATAACTATTTACTTAATAGTAAAATAACTACTTTACTAAAAGAAAAAAATGCATTGGTACGGAGATAAATTGGTTTTCTGACTTCATTTTCTTGAGGGAAGGAAATCAGAAGCCTCATTTTTTCCTGAAATACGTAATACAAAATGACCATGTTTTAAATTTTTAAGATGAAAAGATCTTTAGTAAATTGTTCTATTCAAAATAATTTATTCCAAATTCACTAAAATGTCTCTTAAGCATTTTCTCTAGATGAAATCTTTAATTTAAATATCTACAACAGCTTAATACCCAGTTATAAAAAGCAACTTTACGTGGAATAAGTTGTTTTAAATTTTCAGCTAGGCAAGATATTTTGCAAATTGCTTCAAAAGATTTCTATTCCTAAAGGTTTTTAAAGAGCCTGTTTTACTAAAATTTTCTATTTAATAATCTAGAATAATTCTGTACCTGTTAAACAAAAACTATGTTTAAAAAAAGTGTTTCAGTTTTAAAGTAGGAAGGATTTTGTAAATTGCTTCATAATGTTTCTATCAAAAATAATTTTCCCATATTCACAAAAATGGCTTTTAAGCATGTTCTCCCTCTGAAATCTCTAGTTTACTTATTTGTAATGATTTCTATTTAAAAAACGACTGTGTTTTAAAAAAAGTATTTTTGGAAAGATTTTTGTAAATTGCTTCATAATATTTTGATTCAAAGTAATTTTTCCTAAATTTACTAAAATTTCTCGTAATCATGTTCTTTCCCTACAATATTTAATAATCTATTCACTTTTCATTCAACATAATCAACTACTACAATATCTACTAACCTCTAATTTTATACCTATTGGAAGAAGCAACTATTTCGGAAAAGATATTATCAGTAGGGTGACCCGGGGTAATTCACGATCACTCTGATTCTGGGGTAAATAATGATCACCTAAATTTTATTTTAAAAAAATAATTTTTTTTTTAATTTGAGGCATGGACAAGAATGCTTGTACACTTTACTAAAGTATAACTATGTTTACTTAATAATAGTTTTTTGTTTAATCTAACAAAATAAGTATCTTTTAAAATGCCTTTTGTATTTTCTATTTCAAAGATCAGTTTCAAAATGTGCACATTTCTGCAAAGATCCCCCTCCTTCTCTTAATAATAAATATTTTGAGTTACTTTCTTTTTCTTTGATATTAAAATAGTGTAGGCTTTTGCTTAATCATTTCACATCTACTGTAAACATTATAATTGATTATAGGAAACTATATCAAATGTTGCCCCCTACAGATGAGGTAATTATTGATCACTGGGGCAATTCCTGATCATTGTCATTTCTTCTAATAAATAGTATAAAAAATAGCTAATAGTTAATTGTCTTTTCTTAATAACAGTTCATATTTATTAAGTGGAACAACTATAAAATATATTTTAACTATAATCACAAAATTTTTTTTTAACTGTATACAAGAAAAACGTGTTCTGATATGTACCATTTCTAGCTTGTCTTACCTTGCTTCTATCTTAATTTTATGTGTGTACATTGTTCGAATAACTTTTAAGTTGATAAATTAACCTAATATAAATATGGTGAGAAATTATAAGCTTAAAAAGGATACTAAGCTTCTAGAAACCAAAAATAGTGAATTCTCTTAATGTTCGAAAATGAAAACAGTGTGAGAACTGTTGCCAGAGATGAAGTGTTAATCTTTATTCCTAATTTTAAATAAAACGTTTTATTAGCTGCTTAGACGTATCTTTTTGGTTTATTTGTTTGATCTTAATGTCTTATTTGTTAATTACCACTGTATAATTATTTTTAAACAGCCCATTTACTATAAAAACTGGTGATCAGTAATTACCCCAGAAATGATCAGGATTTACCCCAGAATTGATCAAGAGAAGGGGTAATTCCTGATCACTAAAAATTTAGAATCTTTTAAATTCTAATTAGATTTTCAAACAAAAGAAGGTAGCATGGGACTCATCTCACATAGCCTCAAACTTCCAGTAAATAGTAAAATTCTATCTTGAATAGTTTTTTCACAAAATAGATGTTTGCATTTTTTGATCATGAATTACCCCAGGTCACCCTATCACTCACTGATCATAATCATTTTTTGTTTACATAATAATGCTTCTCAGACTAAAATTATATGAAAAATGCTATGTTGTTACACTTTGATTTCATTTTATAAATCGTCACATTTTAAGCTTCAAAGTACAGATTTAAAGTTTCAAATCAAGTTTGAGAAGTTTCTTTCACAGTGGAAATTGCCTAAGTTTTTTTCCACAGTGTCTCTGGAAGAAATAGGTTATTTCTAACGTAAGTAAAAGAAATATGAGAAGTTCTTTTTCGAATAGAAATATCAAGTTATCAAGCAATTATTTAAAAAAAATTTATTTGCACAATTTCGTTTTTAGTACTAAACTAGTATTAATTATCCAAGTTATTTAATACATTATTTTGAAATAAATGGAAGATGAATATATCTTGTAAGTGAAATATATTTCCCAAATTTCTTGCTTAGTTTTTTGTCTTTAATGGCCATAAAAATGACCTTTTTAAATCATTCAGCTTAAGATTTGTGCATTATTATTTAAAGCAGAATTAGTTGATAGTTTTTATATGCCTTTTAAAAGTGTTTATCCTTTTTTATTTTTCTAGGAGACCGAGACAGATGATAGCTCAACAAATTCATCTTCTCGACAACGAAAGCTTTCCGGTAAAGTTGTTGCCCATCTTCAGAAATATGATAGAAATGGTATGTTATCTTTTATTTTCCCAATCAGACTTAGTCTATAACAGAGTTTGCATTTGTTGCACTGAGTATGGAATATTGTTTACTGCATATATTGGATCAGAGATTCCACTTTCTATAGTGCGTCAAATATACCAGAAATCGTTGTGGGGAAGTGACAAGTACCACTATGCAATGTGCAATTGCATAGTGGTACTGTGCAATTGCATAGTTTGTGGTGCAATTACCACTATAAATCTTAAATCTCAATTCACTAGACATGTTAACTTGATTCCATAGAGAGGTACCTTTTGATAGATGAAGGTTGACATAGTCGATAATTAAGCCCCTTCAATGGTGACCTGGACGTGATGGTCCACATTAAGCAGTTGATTTGCTTAAAAATATACTGCTCAAAGGGGAGAGAATTTTTTCTGTGAAGTAAATACAGTCTCCCGATCAATAAACAATATTGAATAAAAACTATAATGTGCAAAATGATATAAATAAATAAAAACACAGCATAAATCAACTAGTGGTATTCGTTCATCGAATTCTATCACAGATAAAATTCTAGAAGAGGAGTAATGTGGTGCAACTACCACTATAAATATTAAATACCAATTCACTAGTATATAAGACATGTTAACTTGAATCCATAGAGAAGTATCTTTCGATAGATGAAGGTTGACATGGTCGATTAAAAAACTATCCCTTCAAATTTAACCCTAAAATTTTAAACCAAACTTGAAACAGAAAGAAACCATTTTTACTGGTAGCAAAACTATTTAGGAAAAAGTAATGTAAGAAACACAATATATAAAGGCAAATTTATAACAATTTCTGTGTGTTTAGCTTAGAGTGAAGCTCTCTGAAGACGCTAGACTGCTTTCACTAAAAAATATAAATAGGAGATTTATATTATTTTAAATAAGTCATTTTTAATGAATATCTTCCGGCATTTGTCTAGTGTCAACTTCTGCTTTTGCCAAATACCTTTTCATCATTTAATTTAACCCTTTTTATTCTTAATATTCTGGTTGAATTGTAGCAAGCATATAGATGTTTTCTATTATCAGTGCATGTGTGCGATAATTCTCAAATTTTTTTTATTATGGAAATAAGCTTTTTCACACAGTCCATTCATTGTTAAAATTATTGTGCTATTGTCTGATCAAACAGGTAATTCACCCCTATCCTGATCTGACTGGAGAAAATAATTTTAATTTATATTGTGGTTCTAATAAATTTTCTTCCTTGCTATTTAATTTCATAAGTAGTGCAATAAAAATTTCTGACAATCTTATACTTGCATTACTATTTTTCACTGTGCTTAATTAAATTTACTATCTTTTTCAGGTTTGCCGAAAATTAGCCATTTGCCTCACTCGCTGAAGAGGGAACTAGAAACTAGCAGAGATACGGATCAAAAAAGTTCTGTGGCAACCATTTCGTCACATTCCAATTCTAACGAAATGTTTGTTAATGGGACTGATAGCATTGATGACAAGCAAAATGTGAGACGCAGCACACGTCAGAGGAAGTTCATGTACGATAATTTGAACCAAGCTTGGCTTTTAGCTTCTAGTATTCCGGAGTTTACTAAATATGAGCCACTTTTCCCTACCGTTCAAAGAAGTCCCCAAGATGATCAGTGTGAAACCGTAAGGCCGAGACGCTCTCTGAGAAACCATAATGAGTTGCAACGGTTAGGCCTTACACCAGAAGGCCTAGTGAGTTGTAGTTTTTTTTATTCTTTCAGCATGCCATGTTGGACACATACTGACTCTTTTTTGTTGATATTTTTAAAGCTATCTTGAATTCTCTTTTAAATTATTTTAGTTTAAATCAAACAAACATCTTCTTCATCATATCTTCTCTCTCTCTCTCTCTCTTTTTTTTTTTTTTTTTTTTTTTTTTTTTTTTTNGTTTTTTTTTTTTTTTTTTTTTTTTTTTTTTTAAAGAAATCTTTATCATTTTATAAAAGCAAAAAAATTTTTAAGTTTTAACTCAACTTTCCTTAGATATTTCTCTCGAGTCTTTTGCTTGTAGATGTGAAAAATAATATCAACTACAAAAGTCAATCCGATCAAATTGCCATAGTCTTGTTAGTGGAGTTAAGGAAACTACCCACGATTCTACCTTTGAATTGCTTCATGGATTTCAGATAAAATCATCGGGAATTGAGCGTGTAAAACGGGTTACTGAACTTTTTTTTCCTTTTGATATATGCTTATCATGGATATATTGTAAAAAAATTGAAGGTTGTGAAAGCTACATGGCTTTTGTAACAGATTAAAATTAAAAACTTATAGAGAGTTTAAAATTGAAATATTGGGCTGTACTTTGAATAAATATTACTATGAAATTATAAATAATCTGTACCATTAAATATGTGTTTATTTGTGTGCTAAAATTGTTTAAACTTTTTTACATTAGTCTACTGTGTCATATTTTTGAGCCACTAAGTTTTCAATGGTGGTGTAAACTCCTAATTCTTTATATTAACTCTTCTTTTTGAACAGGAATATGAGGATATGTATAGTAGAGTCAAAAGAAAGAAGAGAAAGACTGTGCACACTTTCTTTTCTCGGCGCATCTCTCGAGGAGACGGGTGTATGGCTGATACGGAAGATACAGACCAAAATGGGATTTCTGATTCAGATACTATTGATGACAGAAGTGACATCGAAAATAGTATGCAATGTAAGTACAATGCCTGCTGTGTCCAAAAGATATTGTGAATAGTAGAACTTCAGGTTGTAATAACCTCTTTTTTTTTCTTTTTCTAGCTGCACCCCAATTTCCAACAGAAATGGATGGTGGCCAAAATCAGGATGGCGTAGCTCATGTTCCAAGTAATGTTGTGCGTGGCCCTAAGTATTCTTTGCGGCCTAAGAAGCCTATTACTGAGAGATTTCAAGTATCAAGAGGTTTGTTCTGTTACCAATTATGAATGATCAGGGGGCTATATAAATTATTCAGAATTATTTTAAAAATTATATGACTGCTGATGAGCTAGAAAATAATTGAAGCTGAAAACTCAATTTTTAAAGAGTAGACTTTTTTTATTTTCTTCCTTGTTTCAGATACAATTTTTCAATTATTGGAGTAAAAGATTCAAGTTACCTTCTATCCATATTCAACATTGCAGTGATTATTAAAATGAAGTGAAGTTTGTTCAGATTCTAAACATATTTTCAAACTTTGTCTAGAAATAATTCTAATTTTTCTAGACTTCATACTATATGAAAGTCTTATTTTCTCTCCAGAATAAAAACAGAGTTTCTAATCTATAAAACTCATGTTAGGCCAGTCCTAATATGTATAAGTAACCTTACCTCTAACTTTCGAAAGAAAGGTTCTCAGAAACATCCTTGGAGGTGTCAAAGAAGATGGCCTTTGATAAGGTCGTTTTAACTTAAAAATTCATAGTATTTTTAAAGAGCTGAATAGCATTAAAAATATGAAGATTAAAATAATAAACTTGGCTGCTTATATTTTGAGAATGGATGGAAGCAACAGTGCCTCAATTCTGTGAAATCGGATTTTAGAGCGATTGGGGGCAAAAGACTGGTAGTCCAAGACATGAAATAAGTTGTCTCGGAGAAATCTTCAGCAGAAGGCTTTGGCTCAATCTGTGCTGTCATGCCGAATATTCTGATGAATTTCTCTAAGGCTACCTCAATTGCCGAATCTGATAAGTTCTGGTTAGAACATTTTTACATTTTATCTCTGTTTTTACTTACTAAGAGTCTTATATCTAGATCATATGTTGCTAGGATATTTTTGAATGCTCTGCCATCATCAGTATTTAGTTTATAAGTTTTGTTCTGGATTGAAAAGTCAAACCATTTTTAGGAAATTTAATGCTCATTGATACAGCCTGAGCCCACATTTAGCTATACAGAAGACTTTGAAATTGCCCGGGGAAAATAAATTAAGACAAGTTTATTTGGAAAATAAAGGCATTCTGCTAATATAAATAAAAATTATGCAGGCAGTTGTGAATTTTTGCAGTTTTCAACATTGTTGCATAATTTATAAGGTTCTCTTCATAGTTGATAAGCTTAGTGGAAGAAGTTACTTTTTTATAAAGAAGAAGGTAAAATGAAGACATCTCGTTATCGGCCAACGACCAACAGTTGCATTTTTAATAGTCACCGAGTCAATTCTGACTTGTTTGCTCTACCGGCTATCTACGCATACATAAGTTTCGTGCATTCTTTAATGAAAGGAGCAACTATCTATTATTTTCATCAACTTTTGTACTTTTCTTATAAAATATGATTTCTCTTGTCAGATTTTGGACGCAAAGATTTGCGTCAGCGATTTTCCCTGGACTTCTAGGGCCTTCATTGTAGTCTACATTTCCAGTCTACCAAAGATAGGCTATTACGCTATTCACCGTGTCTCTTATCTCTAGCATTAAGTGTGTTTAGTACCCAGTTTCAATTACAAGCCTTAATTTTGATGTTTTGCAATTTTTTTTTTTTAAAGCAGAGCTCAACATTTCTTTTTTAAGCAATTCAGTCTCACATTTCTCACTAGGCAATTCAATCTTTTCTTTTCTCAAGCTCAGAAAAATATTAGACTTACATACATGCTTGCCAAGTCTCCTGTTTTTTAACGAAGACTCCTGTATTTCACGTTTAACTCCTGTTTACCCACGCATTCTCAAATTTCTCCATATTTGATGAAGAATTTTTTTTTTAGAAATTAGCGATAAAATATCCACTGATGGTTAAAATACTTCTCTTATTCCTCAACAGATGGTGCTAATCCCAGTACTGCAGTATGTTGAGTGTTGATAATTTAAGTAATTATAAATAATGGGTCTTTAGATTAAGATTTATATACATATTTTTTACTTCCCTAAATGCATGTGCTGACGCCCGGTGGCTGAGTGGTAGCGCTTTGTGTTCCCGTGCCACAGGTTCTGGGTTCGATCCTCGGGCCGGGCAAGGTAGACTCAGCCTTTCATCCCTTCAGTGGGTCGATAAATGAGTACCAAGCGTGCTTGGGAACTAAACACTGGGGGTTTCGCGTTTGGCTGACCACCTAACCGGAACATCTGCTCCTGCACCCCAGAGCCCAAGGTCAAGAAAATTGAGATGGGCACAGTAGGCCTTGGCCCTCTATGGGCTGTCGTGCCACAGAGTAAATGTAAGTGCTTATACTATTTCCAATTTTGAATTTCTCTTTTTGATTATGCATGATGTATCAAAACTTGACTCGTAGCCTAAAAATGTTGCCAGTAAAATCTCCGTTAGTTTATTTCTCCCAATTTTAGCAGGTATGTACATAGAATTCTTTATGGTTCTAGTTGTGCACCCACTTCTCTCATTAACCATTGTTCGGGTGGATCAGCACAGATGTTCTTTTGTGGGAGCTTTACAAGTGTCTTCTGACGAAATAGTTTCTAGAAGGTTGTTCTGCTGGAGCCAGCCTATTGCATTAAAAATATTAATGCATTCATTTTTTTTTCTTTTAATTATGAAAGGCAGTTTTGATGTCAGCCATTTTTTTTCAAAGTTATTTCAAATAAAATCCATTTCTAATGTCGAAATCCTTTTTCATGTCTGTTTTTCTTCCTTTTTTTTCTTCAGTTATTTTGATCGTCATTCAGATTCAAGCAAGGTCATTTTCAAAGCTAATTCGATTTCTAACTCCATCAAAGTATTTTTTGTTATACGTATTCAAACAGTACATCTATGCAAACACTTCCAATTCTTTAACAAATCTCTGGTTCCTAATCTCCATCAAAACCATTCTTTCTGACTTCCATTTTGCAATCGTCAATTTAATTTCTGCTGTGTAATGAGAATACTGATGTTGTAAAATAAATTTTTCTTACAGATTTATTTATATTCAAAACTTAGTAGCATTGCATTTTTTAATAGTATAAATTGTCTCTATATATTTTTAACATTTATTGTGAGAGAATGTAAAAAAATATTCATTTGCAATTTTTTTGACAATGCAAAAATACATTGCAAATAAAATTACATTTACCAATCATTGCACAAAATGTGTATGTTTAAAAATCAACATATTAGTAATTTAAATAAAATGATAATAAGGTTTTACCAAATTAGTAAAGTTTGAACTGATTTCAATAATTTTTAAGACTGCGTTGGTAATTATTTAATCTAATACTTTAAATTTTTTTTTTCCAAAGAAAATATAAAAGCAGCAATCAATTTATTGAACAGCAGCGCACACAAATTATATAAATAAAGAAACATTTATAAAAAATTCTTAAAAATAATGATAGAAATTTTTTTTCTGAAAGATATATTTAATTGAACACAAAGTTCTGTTGGTTTCTTACAAACTATGTATTTTTCAAGTTGTATCTAGAAAACTTTAAATTGTTACGTTATATGTACATTACCGCTAAATAATTTTTAGAATCAGATAATATTTTATGTTAATTAATTATTACTTGTTTTTATTTATTTTTATCTGTTCTTTTTAGAAATAATTGGTTTTTTAATCTTTTTTATTTTATTTTTTAGAACCCACCAGACCTAGGCGATCTACTACAACAATTTTTGAGGCAAATCAGCACCATCCTCGACCACCAAGAGAAAGAGACTCATTTAAAATAAAAACTACAGCACATCGTAATCACATCTATACTAGGTATTTCTATTTAAATTCTAGTTCACATTTCTCAAAATATTTTTAATTACTGCCAACTTTTTCGCATTTCATGTAAAATTTCATTTTTATATTTAGGGTGATAGTAAAATTTATGTTTTTTATATATTTCTTGCATTTATAATGTAAATTTTAATTATTATGACCAAATAAGTTTAAATAAATTAATTAACAAAGACAAAGCTCAGTATAGCAATCTCTATCAACCCAACAAAAATAGTTTTTCTATCATCATAAGGTCGATGTATTACGAGTGCATAAAATTATCGTAAATATTTACTCATAATAAAAATTCTGGACTATTTTTAACTAAATATTAAATGCTGAAACTAATTTTGACAAAATCATGCTCTACGTTAAAAGACAATAATGAGCTCGCAGAATAATTTATAATTATAATGCGAATTTTATTTATGTACCAGTATAATATTTATTATAATACATTATAGTTGAAAAATAGGTTTAAAAAAAGATAGCAGCATAATTGATAAACAGCTTGTTTTTATTTATTTATATATTTATTTTCAATGCAATATGAACAAGTAGTATTTAAAAAGATTTTTAAATTTTCTTAATTTTTTTTCCATGTGACATTGACTTAATTAACATTAAATGACCAAAATTGATCCTTTAGGTGGGAAAAAATATTTTTTAAGATATTTATAGGAAACTTTTGCAATAATTTATGCTAATTCTTCTCACTAGATAGTTCAAAATTTTTTTCTAGGAGTTCAATTTAAACTTAATTATAGATGCGTCTTATACTCTTTTTAAGAACTGCCTATGTATTATTTAATAGTTCTTTATATAATTGATTTTTATTTTAGAAAAAGGCATGCGATTCATAATAGTTCAAGTAGTTCTAGTGATGAAGGACACTTTGAAAAACGAAAGGCTATAAGTTTAGCTAGAGCTAGAAACAGGTATTTAGACTATAACTGCTGATCATGTTGATTTTTTTTATTTACTTGTTTGTTTTTTAATATTACATAGTAAAAAATGTTTGCTGTACATAAAAAAGTTTTTTATTCTTGAATCTTCACATAATTATCCACCCGAAAAACTAGTAATTTTTTTTTTTTAATTTTTCAAAATCACTTTTTAAAAGAAGTCTTTTAACATCCAACTAGTGGGTTAACTCTTAAATGCATGAATTCTTAATAATTTATAAATTTTCTCTATACGTTTTCTTTAAATCAAAGTATTTAACTTGCATTTATTTTCAAAACTAGAATTTTTATTTATTTTTTGAACTTATTTCTATGCAGGGTATCGGCGCACTTAGAAAGTCATGAATTTTGGTATTGAACAAAATTTGTCATTTTTTTAATTTTTTTTTTAAAAAAATCTTTAAAGTCATGGATTTAGGTCGCCGAAAAACTAGTTTTTAAAATGGAATTCACCCCCTCCCCCAATTTCATAGTGTTCCGAATATCTAATTTTGTAACAAAATCCCCACTCACAGTCATATTTGATTAAAATATAAGATGTTTTTATTGTGTTCAATAAAAATTAAGGTGTTCTTTCAGAAAATGAAAGAAAAAATATCGTTTCTAGAGTGAATTATCTTTTAAACATCTGTGATTTCAAAATTTTTATTTATTTTTTTTATTTTATCAATTTAAAATTTTAGCTGAAGCAAGCCCGTCATTGGCGAATTTTTTTATTCTGAAATGGGAACAGAAAAATTAGGAGCATTTCTTTCCTTTCCGATGAACAAGAAAAATATCTTTAAAATGTAATTCTGCAGAAAATAAGGAAAAAAAATTATTTGCTTTTATATTTTTTTCAGCTATTTTATTGTTTTAACTCTTTTTACTCTGTTTTTTAAATTTAAAATCTATAAATATGAAGGTGCAGAGTATAACAGTTTTGGATATACCTATCATTTCAATGAATGTTATTATAATGATTTTTTAAATTTATTGTTGTGTTTTTGTCAGAGAAAATAGTAACTCCGTTAAGCTATGAAAAATTCTTGGAATTAGTCATGAATTTGAAAATCTAAAATGTAGCAAATGTAGTTATGAACAAATTTTTTAATGTTAAAATTTATAATTATATGGACTTTTGTAATATAAAAAAACATGAATTTTCCCATAGTTTTTAATTATTTCAATTTATCTATAAAAAAATTTTGATAAATTTATTCTAATTTTCAGATTCTGTTTTTTTTTTTTTAATTTTTAAGTAATCAGTTTTAAAGTTTCAAATTTTAAACATTTAAAAGTATTTAATTTTATGCAAAGATATTGCAAGGTTAACTGGCAAAAATAGTGCCTAGAACAATGATGTTTATATAACAATTACTACCTACAATTGCTGTCAACATGTCTGTCTAAATACTTTGCGGTCCTTCATTGGTCAATCTCCTGTGCATGTGGCCCTTCACTCAAAAAGGTTGTGAACCCCTAGTCCAAGATTCTAGTTGCGTTCAAAAACTATAAAATAGGTTTGGTAAAATAAAAAATTTTAAAAATGCAAAGGTTGCTACATAAAGACATATCTGGTTTAATGCATATGATGCAAATCTACATCACTATGCAGTTAGCGTTATGAAGATGTTAAAATATTTTCTAAATAATTAAATTCAAATCTATATATATATATAAATAGTTTGTTTTGAAGTTCAAGAATTGGAAAATATTTTATCAAATTTTTTTTTTTAACTTGATATTTTTTAATTATATTATTGTGTCTGAAAAGCAATATACTAAATTTTGGGGAAAATCTTTGTTATTGATTCAGTTTTTGAAACCTTTTATTTTTAGATGTCTCCCTCTCAATTTTCTTGATGATGATTTGACAAAGGGTACCATACGGGATCGAGTTATGATAGGCAGCAGTTTGGCCGATATTGATCCTATGGGTATCGATAAAACGGTAAATGATTACTTTTTTTATTGTAATTTTTTCTTATTAGGTAAAGAGTTTATGAAAATTCTTTAAAACAATTTTTTTTTTTCAGGTATCATTTGACCATGTGGGAGGTTTAGACAAGCATATCAGGTCCTTAAAGGAAATGATCCTTTTCCCTCTTATGTATCCTGAGGTGTTCCAAAGGTTTAAAATTGCCCCACCTCGAGGCGTACTGTTTTACGGCCAACCAGGTATTCTAAAATTATTCATTTTTAAACTCTTAGATTATTGCGCTCAGAGATATTTTTTTCTCGAAAGAATAAAATTATTTTTAGAGGAGTGAGATACAAAAAATAATAAATACATATAAATTATAAGGAACAATCTTATAAAAAAAAGCTTGCTTTTATGTATGAAATAAAATTTGACTTCTTCTTTAGCGAGGTTAGGGTTTTTTCTTATTTTTAAAAAAGCGTTTTTCAACCGCTGGTCTAGTGCCAGTAATCAGTGCATTAATATTTGTATAATTTTTTTTAATATTTAAATAAGATTAATCACAAAATATTTTTCATTGTAGAGATCATGCCAATGATCAGAAACAAATTGTGCCAAATATTCTTGTAGTGCCACAATATGTAAAAAATCCTACCAACAATCCAAATTGCTAATGTTACCAATTTACGATAAAATACTGAAATACTTTATTGGCCTTTCTAATAAATCAAGTCTGGAAAAGTCTTCTAAAGCACATATTTTTTCTCCTTTGATGTACTGAATTGTTTTGTTAAAACTACCCCTTCTCTTTCAGAACAAACTCCTGTAGCTCATGTTTATCATTAAAGTTGAAATTTTATGACTATCTAGACGAAATCATGATAAGATAAATTAGTTTTTATCGACAGAAATGATTCTTTAATTCTATTCTTGCGTATTTATATTATGAAATGTATTATTTATAAATATTTTAAATTAGGAACTGGCAAAACATTAGTGGCTCGTGCCCTAGCAAATGAATGCAGTACTGGAGACAAGCGTGTTGCCTTTTTTATGAGGAAAGGGGCAGATTGCCTGAGTAAATGGGTCGGAGAATCGGAAAGGCAACTACGTCTATTATTTGACCAAGTAAGTATTTCAAACGAATCTTTGATATATATTATCTTAGCCTCCTATAAAATAATTTTTACTACTTTTTCAATGAAATTCCTATTGGTTATCATTTAGAGAACAAATTTGATCTAAATACATGAATTGGACGGTTGAATCTTTTGAGATCTATTTACACATTGCTTTGCTACATAACCAGATATCTCGTTGTAAGGTTCACAACAGCAATGGATATCTGGGGGTCTATAAAAGAACCACCTAAGTTTTAATAGTGTGGTCTAAAAATGTAACATGGCAGACAAATATTAGAAATTATTTTAGCTGTATTAGTAAATTTTTAGCTTTAACTTGCATAAGTTTGACACATATTTTATTCTGCATATCAAATATTGTGCATTTTAACTTTCATAGAAGAAAAAAAAAATTTATGGCAAGAAACAACAATTATTGTAAAGCAATCATTGGGGCTGGTAAGCAGCAGCAAACAGAGGTCTTACCCCTCTTGTATAATAATGTAAATCGAATAATAAACAAATGTTTCAAGCTGTCCTACATGCATATGATTTTCTTGTCAATTGCTGCCACGCTGCTTTGAATCATTTCCAAAAGTAAATTACATTCTAAATTAGTTATATTTTAACCTTTTCTGTACACTAATGCATGTATTATGTGTTTGGATTATAGGCTTACACTATGAGGCCTGCTATAATTTTTTTCGATGAAATCGATGGATTGGCACCTGTCCGTTCGACTAGACAAGATCAGATCCATAGTTCTATTGTATCTACCTTACTTGCATTGATGGATGGTTTGGATAACCGAGGAGAGATCGTGATTATTGGTGCTACAAATCGATTGGATGCGATAGATCCAGCTTTGAGAAGACCTGGTCGTTTCGATCGGGAATTGCTTTTTCCACTCCCTTCCTATCAGGTACTATACTCCAATATTTTTAAAGCTTAAAAGTTAAAGACTTCTATTGATTTTAAATACAGATCATAAAAACTTTAAGGAAGGAACTTCTTTCATAGATATCACTTTTTTTACTTATTCATCTGTTTTTGTTGTAAAAATGTGAATGACATTAAGGTTAAAGGCTCTGAAAAGTCCTTAAAAATGTCTTCTTTCTCATCTCACTTCATTTGAGTTTGAACGGTGTCAAACATTTTAGACATATTGAACTTGATCATCATTTGAAAATATCTTGTTAAGGCTTTACATTTATTGGAGTTTGTTCTCTACTTTTTCCAACGATTTTCATTTATTTTATTTTTTTGTTTCTTTAATTATTTTTAGGCCCGTGAAAAAATTCTGAAGATAATAACAAAGGAATGGATCCCACCTCAACCAGATTCTCTCATCTCAGAACTAGCTGCTTGCACTGCAGGCTATTGTGGTGCAGATTTGAAAGCACTTTGCTCTGAAGCAGCGCTAGTTGCTCTCCGACGCCGCTATCCTCAAATTTATGAATCTAAGCAAAAGTTACAGTTGGACGTGGAGACCATTCATGTAAGTCTATATTTATTGTTATATATTTGGAGAGTTATGAAATTATATTTAGCTTTTTCTGCCTAATTAAGAATATACAAAAAATTTCACTTTTACCTAGTTCACCAATAAGACGATGGTTGTTTGTTATTCCAAAGAAAATTTCTTTCTTAGATTTTTATTTTAAATAAAACTAATCAAATGATATATAATTTAGATTTTCTAATATTGATTTAGCAGAACTGCTAAATCTCAAACTTTTTAGGCCTGAGTCTCAAGCCAGGAAAGTATTTTTTTTTTTCAGACTTTTTTCTAATTCTCAAAAAATGTCTTTGCACTTCACAGTGCGAAGACATTTTTGCGGAGAAATGTTTTTATTCTTTTATAGATTTAATGAAAAATGATGCAGGAATGAATATTCTGGCACGTAACAAAAATTCAGACTTAATTCTGTTCTTCATCAAAACAAACTTAAAAGAATTTGTTAACTGTGAAGGCAAGTCAAAAGAGCAACAGAAAATATTTCTATGACGTTTTTTAAAAAATAAATTTATTATTTTGCAATTTTTAGGAGTGAATAAGTCATTTATATAAGTTTGAATAATTATGAATAAATATATTTCTTAATATTTATTGTTTTGCTTATTATGTTATGCCATGGTCTTAAAAGGTCTCATACTTTTTGATATTATTATGAATTTTAATTAATTAAAGTAATACACATTATAAAGGAGTGTTTAAAATGAGTCATCTCATTGAAATGAATAGTGAGTCTGGCTTCAGAATCAATCAAAAAGGAGACTAAATCGATAAATGCAGCTTTAAAAGCGATTTTCTTCAAAAATGTAGGAAATCAAAAAGGTAAACATGTAAAATATTGCAAAGGGGAAAAAAATTTTAAGATTTCTAAGTGAAAAATTGGCCTCTTGCTTTACATAAGGATGTTAAGAAACTTGTTGGAAAATATAAATAGTGACAACTTTGATTTATTTGTGTGTAACATTTAATTTTTATTATTAATATTGTTAGTTATAGTGTTGATGTTAAATTTTATTAGTTGTTATTAATGCATTGAATCCGAACTTTGATTGTTAAATATAAAAATGAAATTGTTTTAGTGCTAAAAACATTATTATTGGTGTGACATTAAGGAAATTTATTATTTGCACTATTAATTATACTTTGGCATTTATAAAGTCTTATTTCTTTAAAAATAAATAAACTTATAAAATAACTCTTTTTTCTTTCTTTTTTTTTGCAATTACTTAGGCTATTAAAAACCTTCCTCACTAGTTTTTCTAAAATAATTGTTTTAAATTTGCAGGTTGATTCTGTAGATTTTTTGACAGCTTTGAAAAAGATGAAACCATCCGTACAAAGGAGCTCAGTGTTCTCTTCTAAACCTTTATCTACTGTTGTGAAGCCTTTACTGGAACCCACTTTGCTTGCAGTTGTTCAAAAAATCTCAAAGATCTTCCCCTATTTCACGTTCCCTATGAAGAAACAACCCTGTGAGTGTATTCTTAATTTCTTTTGCCGATTCTTCCAATGGTCTACAAATCATATCTTTCTTTCTTTTTCAGGACTACTTTAGATTTAGAACTTCTCCTAAAAATTTATAAAGTCATTTTTAATACCTTCCCCCCCTAAAATAACCGCATTTCCATCCCTTCCAGAGTTCCACAAATCACTGGGCGTGTCAGTCTTTAAAATACCTACCCAAATGAAACTTTAACATACCCAAACACCTTAGTAAAAAAAAATATTTACATTGAGAAAGAAAAGTTGAAGATAACCAAGTTTTCATTTCCTCTTAATTAAAAACAAATTTATACAGAATTTTTTTTCATTTTTTGATATAGACTTATTTTACTATTTGTTTAAAGAACCTCGTTACTTTAATCCTCGTAACTTTTTAGGAAAACAAAATATGTTAGCAAAAAGTAATACAAATTGTAAAAGTGAATGAATTTTAAGAAGAAAATTTTTGAGGAAAAAAAATCACTTTCTTTGATGTTGTTGAAAAAAAATGTTGATGTCTTTAATATGTTTCGCTTTCATGTTGCACGGTAATTTTAAGTTAACTTACTTTTAATGAAAGTAAATTTTACCAGTCATATTCATTTTAAATAACATTAAGTAGAGTGAAAGAGAAAAAGAAGAATAAGCTTATTTTGTTTTATAAGCTTTTATTCCTATAATTTTATTTAGTAACATTTTGGTTTTAATAAACATATTTAATTTTTTTTCTACATCTTCGGTATTATCTTTCTGCCCCATCCAGCACCTTGTCAATTTCTGTCAAAATTTAAGGGGATACTTAATCAGTATAATGGTTTAAATATTTACAAGCCCGATTAGAATTTTCAAGTCCCAGGAAAAATTCATGTATGTATACATAATTATATGAACATCATATATCCGGTTAGCGTTGTGCTTTATGGATTCATAACAGATTATCTCAATACCTCTGGGAGTACTGGATCAGAAATTAATCATGCTCTGGTTCTGGTCAAAATTACGATTTACAGATGGATGGATGCTGTGTGAGTGTAAAACGGGCTGTGGTGTATTCGCGTGGCAGGAGTCTAATTCTTGGCCATAAATGGCGCCACTGAATAAAACAAGCATACCCCTCTGCATTAATGGCATTCAATAACAATAGCATAATTATTATCATTAGAAATTAGCTGGAATCATAAATTTGTCCTGGCTAAATTGAGATAAAACATAAACAGAATTGTTAAAAAATACTGTCCTGCATCTATAAATCAAATCATTCCCAGTATTCTAATAAAACTTCATTTTAGAAAGGCAATGTAGAATTTTTGATGCTTCTTGTTATTTACTATAAATGATTTAAATTAATCGAATGTTTTTTAAGCACCTCTATATTATTACAGTATTACCCTTTATGTCTTACAGCTTTACCTAGTATCTGTAGTGAAAACTCAACCTCTAAATTAATTGATTCTGAAGATAGTGATAGTTACATGTGTTCCGATGATGTTCCAAAGCTTACTTCTTGTCTTGGATCCCCTAGGAGCAGAATGAAGCTTCTGGAGGTGAAATCGAATTTAACCAGGTAAAATTATAAACTTTCTTCTATTTTTCTGTGTTGTTGTTGTTAAAAATGCCACTTTATAACAATCGTTGATCAACCCTGTAGCATTGTAACTTTGAACCTGATCTGGAAGACAAGGGAACTTTTGGATCAAGTGTTGAGAGAAATTTGCCTTTGTATGGGACTTTATGATGAAACTAAACCGCATTTGCATTACATGGAGAGGAAAACCTCCCACAGTTAGCCTGATGGCAAGGGGACTCTAACCCATGATCCGTCCACTGAAAATAATTTACATCACTGTGGTTGCTACGAGCCGGATGCGGAATTCATATCGACCAGCCATAGCCGGGATTCGAACGTGGTTCACCGTATTGGAAGACGAACACCTGTCCCCTAAGCAACCACTGCTCTTCATATGTATGCCACTTGTCAATATCAGGATGCCTGCTTGGAATCAAAAGAATTTTTAAAGCAGAGTTTGTGCTTGTTTTTCAGTTGTGCCCTCTGTGGCTGAGAATTCGTATTGATTTGTTATGGGAACTTGGAGACAATTTTCTGTGCGAATGCTATAATTTTGAATCGAATTAATTTTTTTAAATTCTTATTATTTGCTGTGCTCCTTTATCACAGCCTGTAATATATAGTCTTTGAAAGCCCTTTTTTAAGGTATTAAATAAGTTAGGCATAAGTAGTTTGGAGTTGCAAATTATGAATTGTTATCTAGGTCATTTGTAATAAAAGGGTAACAAATAATATCAAAACCAGTTTCATTGTCAGCTTAGACTTAAAGGTAAATTATTAAAAAAATGTGTCTTAAGTTTCATTCAGCTATTGAGTGTGTTTTCAGGCATTCAATCTTAATTTCATTGCAATTTATATTGGTCATTATTCTTCCAATTTTAATACTTTTAATTTGATTTTCATCACTTAAAAAATAATTTGTATCTCATTTCTGCATTTTTTTTCTAAATTTTCAACTACAGTACAAAGAAAAATAAAGTGACAGTGATTATGAAACACTATTTATTTTATCATTCATTCCATTTTTTACTTATTTAATGTAGATAATTCTTATGTTATTCTTTTGCAATTTATTCTTATTATTTTTTTTAATATTAGTATGGCACCCATACTGCATCGACCTTATTTTTTAATATCTGGTAAAGAAGGTCAGGGACAAGGAAGCCTGGCTCCTGCTGTACTACATCTGTTAGAAAATGTTACAGTGCATAGACTGGATATACCAGCTCTGTATGCGGTTACGACACGTGCACCTGAAGAAGCTTGTGCTCAGGTCAGTTATTGTAAATTTTCTTAAGCCTTTCGCGAATCTGGTGAAAGGCTGCAGGGTTCAATTCTAAAATGGAAAGAAAAAAATGTCCTTATATATCCAAGTGGATTTTGTAAAATTTAAGTATTGTATCTAATGTTTCCAAACAAAATTTAAGGTTTGACTTTTGAATTATGTATGCAACATAAAATTTATTTTTATTTGCTAATATAAAATTTTATTCACCACAAAATAATAGTAATTGTTATTAATAATTAACCAAATGAAATAATTGTAATCATAATGATGGAATTACGTTATTAACCAAAGATTTAAAAAAATTAATGTATAAAAGTAGCAGAGCACATAAAGTGCATTTTTACCGAAATAAGTAACGATTTACAATGAAATAAGTAACGATTTACAATCTTTATTTTCGATATTTAGTCAGCAGGTGGAAACCATTAATTTAATCCATAACTTAACTTCATATGACTCATCTTGTTTTGCTAATGCTATTTCTTGAAAAAAAATGCAAATATCTAGCTAAAATATTATGGAAAGCTTTTGATTTGTTATTAATTTTGCATTAGAACTTTAATAATGGGCTAATTATAATGGTCTGACTTTCATCCTTAATGATGTTCTGCAGACAATATAATTGCATACGCACAGTATATTACCATAATCAGGCTCAAAGGACAACTGGTAGCTGTAATACCCGATCTCTGTAACATGCTACCTATCAAATAAAATCAATTTTTTCATCACTCTTACCATTTGTTCACATTTCATCTCTCTTACCATTTGTTCACCAAGGGATTTTTGTCAAAATTTTAGAGGCCTTTCATTTGTATTTTACAATATTTCTGATTAATTACTTGCATTCATTACTGGGAATGTAAGCACAAAAAATATGTACTGAAATGTAATTTTTTAATCCTGAAGTATGAATTTTTTTCCTTCTATAAAGAAATATTTCTTTTTCAGTAGCAATAGTTCAATTTTCTATTTTCAGATTTTTCATGAAGCTCAAAGAAATGTGCCTAGTGTTATATTTTTACCTCACATTGGTTACTGGTGGGAAACATTATCAGAAACTGTTCGCGCTACATTCCTATCTCTCTTGCAAGACTTGGATCCATCATTGCCGCTTATGTTATTTGCTACAAGTGATGTCACATACTATCAATTGCCGATAAAGGTAAGTGTGTGTGTTCTCTTATTATCTCTTATGTAATTTACTACAAGTGCTGTCTCTTATTACTGATTGCCTATAAAAGTAAGTGTGATACTTCATTACCTTTTATGTTATTTGCTACAAGTGATGTCACATACTGTTAATAAATTCTAAAAGTAAGTGTGTCTGATTCCTTATTACCTCTTCTGTAAATTGCTGCAAGTGATGTCTCTTTATTATCAATTACTTCTAAAAGCAAACCTGTGTGATCCTTCATTACCTCTTAAGATATTATTTATACCTACAAGCGGTAAGGCATAATACCAATTGTCTCTAATAATAAGTTTCCTCTTTCATGCTATATTGCCAAAGATTAAAGTTATCTATATTGAGTAGTATTTAAGATATAATATTTAATTTGTATGTTATATTTTAAGTTGACCTTGTTTGCTAGCTTGAACTGTTAAAATTTATTATTCTGTGTCCAATAAAGAAACTTTGTATGTTACCTGTCAGAAGTTATTGACAAACATGGTTACCTTTGTGATATAATTATTTTCCTTTTACAATTTTTTCTAACTGAATTGATGAGTTAAAAAACAAGTCATCTCCATGGGATTGATATGAGATGTTTTCAAATTGTATTAAATATATAGATTAGGGATATATCAAATAGTAATTTGGCCGAATATCAAATGATCGAAGTCTGAATAAAAAAAAAATTTTTAATTAATCATTGATAAATATTTTTACGTATAAATAAATTTAGTCATTGTTGAACATTATTCAAGACTTAGCTAAATTCTTGTTATATTATTTGTAATACAGTACAATATCTCGAGATTTCGGCAGGTTCAGAAAATAGAGCATCAAACAAAGAGCAAAATTTATTTCCTTCAATAAAAAATTTTAGTATTTAATTCCAATTCAATGTTGTTTAATTTTCATGCAATAGACTTAAGAAGTTTCGTTAGGGTAGGTAACTAACAAAATAAACTGACGTTAAACCAAAAAGTGTATCTGGTAAATAAAATGACACTTAAACTTTAAAGCTAAAAATAGTATTTTCCGGAAAGAAGAATCCATTAAGCAATGCTGCAAGAAATGGAATCTGCCAGAAATGCTTTTAAAATATATCAATGAAGCAAAAGCTATTTAAAGAAGGTAAAAACTAAATAGAAATTAAAAGCAAAAAATCTAATTTTTAAAAATAAACATTTAACGCTGAGAATCTCAATTTAACTTTTTCACATTGCCGTATTTTTAAAAAAAAGTGACAATAAAAGAATGAAGTTCATTAGAAACGTTCTTTAAAAAATGCTGTGTCATAATAAAAATGTGGATAAAGAGAAAAGTTAATTAAAAAAAAAAAACCTAAACAGAGAAATACAGTTGTTCTTATTTCTTAAAACAAAACTTTAACATTGAAAATCGCAGTTTTCCGATATCGGTCATCTGTATTACCATACAGGAAAAAAGGTGACAAAAAAAAGAATGAAGTCTATCATATACGCTCTGTTAAAATACTGTGCTATAATAAAAACAATAAAAATGAAGCAAAGAATGATGGAGGAAAAACAATTATGGTTTATTATAAAGTAATCTAGTAGTTCAGTTCTTCAAATTTTCTTTTTATTTGTCTTCCAGAACATAAATCTGCAAGAACATGAATTTTAGAACTTAATGAGGACAAATGTGTGTAAAAACTATTTCTAATAATATGCAGTTAAAAATGTGATTTTAGATTATTCATTATTAATTCTATTTAATTTTCAAAAAAAACTCAACAAATGCTTTGCCAAATGTTCATTACATCCGTAATATATGTGTGAGTTTTTTAATTGAAGCAATTTATTACAATTTTGTGCAATATTTTATTATTTTTAATATAGCAATATAAAAGATTAGTTATATTTATTTCTTATTTTTCCTTTATTTTGTTGTTTTAACCAATTATTCACATTTATCCTAATGGTGCAAAGTCGCTTAATTTATATGTAAAAGAAACTTTAAAACTAAGTATTGATCCATTCAGGCATCTTAAGTTAATGTTTTGCATTAATTGAAAATTTATGATATTTAAATGAATCTAGATTCTATGAATTCTAGAGCAAGTTTAGGTTATTAAAATAACTTACCTGTCGATTTAAATGTTTTTTCTAAAGCATGACGTATTTTTCCTATAGATTCAAGAAATCTTTAGTGCATCTACGGAGCAAGTATTTTCAATGCGTACTCCAACTCTTGAAGAACGAAAAACTTTTTTTGCTAGTCTGGTTAAGGAAATTTTCAAGTTGCCACAAAAATCTGCTGAAAAAAGTATGAGTAAAGTTTCTTTTATTTATTTGTTTTCGTATACTAAATTATTGAATTTTCTTAAGGGTACAATATATTATTTTTTGTAACAGATTTTCTCGATATATATTGATTTACTATGACAACTTGTTTGTTTAAAGCACGAGTTAAATAAGTTTTAAGATTTAAATTATGTTATTGATCCAACTTAACTTAGTGTTCTGGGGCTTTTTTTTAAAATATACTTTCTATGTAGGAGTTATCGGGATGTTTAGCGAAAAGTGCCTAAAGGTGCTTTTTTCATTGAGTCTTTTTAAAAAGTGCTTAATTCTCCCTTTTCCAAAATGGGATATTTTTTTCTTTACAATGTTGATTTTTGCCGCGAATTATGCAAAATACATTATTCTATTGAACGTTTTCACAATTAATTCAACCCCAATATATTTTGGTATTCCGTAGTGTATGAACACGCTAATTGTTTTGCATGGTTGGTGAAATGCTTTCGGGTCTGTATGTGCGTATGCTGAGCTGAATTCAGTGGGAAGGGTTTTTGCATGATCACGTGCAACTCTGCAGCATTTTGCAAGAAATTCTAGATTTCAGAATTAATTTTCCGCTCTCTTGAAATCAAGCCGAAAAATCTCTTGAATTTTCGCTGATTTTGGGAACCTCCTAAACATTGTAAAAAAAATTTCCCTACTAGTGATAGAAAATTTTATTTCTCTTGTTAGTTTCAGCGTTGATGATGCGCTATTGTCTTCGTCACTGGCAAGCTAATCGCATTCTCAAGATATTCCATTTATAGATGAGTACCATAATCTTTAATCTTGACTTGGGGATCATTCACTAATTACGTATTTTCATGTGGGTCCCCAGAGCAGTAAAGAAGCTGAAAGCTTCATTACCTTAAAATTCATTTATTCATTAAATTTAGGAATTAATTGAGAATTTTCCACCAATTGCCTAAAATTTTTGTAAACTTTTGTTGTACTTCGTCACACTTTTTTTTTATTAACTATTTTATTACTTTTAAAATTTTCAGTATTAAGTTCTTTTATGAGAATTCAATAATAAGTAGAGCCAAGCTTTTAAAAAAGTATGAAGTGACGGGCTTTAATATTTTAAATGCTGCAGAACATCTTATGGTTTATTATGAAAAAAATTAAGATTTATCATTCCACAAAACTTTAGTTCATTTCTTAATGATTTTATTGAAAAACAATTGAAATAAAAAATTTCATTTATCTCAGATTTGTTAAATATTAAGAATGTTTAACTTCAATACTCATTGTATTGACACCTCAAAATTTCATTACAGAAATTTAAATACAGAATCAAGTAACAAATAATAATAAACATTCTTTTAGGGGCCATTCACTAATTTACATTTATGTAATATGAATTTATTACAGTTTTTTTAGTTTGCTTAATTCTTTACATATCTTTATAAATTCGATATGATCAATAATATTAATCTTATAAATGCTTAGTTGATTATGCTTTTATAAATAACTTTTATTTAAATCTAAAGATACACTTGATAACCTTTTTATATAATACATAGTTAAATTAATTATAATTTTGTTTTATTTTTTAACATAATTAAGTAAATTACTTATTAATTTAAAAATGGAATGAGCCACATAATATTGAATATCTTTAAAATTGTGTATAAATTGTTTTTATGGTGACTAATATAATTATGAAAAGAGTTCTTTTTCCAGAAACTAGCTATTTTATCATGATCATGTAAAGTCTTAGGATATTATTTTGCATTTTGTTAATGTATTTATGAACTTTCAGCAATGGGGGAAAAAAAAATTTTATTAGTACGCATATCCTTAATTACAGGGTTTAGATTTTGATGTCGAAAAGTGTCAAAAATTATCGAAATCTGATTTTTTTAAAAAAAATAATTAAACTGTCTAAAACTTGGGACAAGTTTCATTATTAACATTGGGCTCATTTTAGTAGACATTAAATTATGATCAATACTTGCATTATAAAATCTGTTTATAATTTATATTAATATATCATTTATATAAAATATAGTCAAAACCATTAAATTATTAATTGATTTTTTTAAAAATAGGCTACTTTTAATATATTATAAGTAATAACTTTGGGTTGTTAATTATTATCAATCTAAATATTAATTTTAATTATTTTATGCCACAATTTAGGCAGATTTTTTAGATTAAGTAAAACTTAAGTGGTCACCAATAAGTGTCTGATCTCAACTTATTAAAAAAATAATAATAATAATAATTCCTACTGTTTGTAATCATTACTCATATGCTGATTAGCAGCTTATGTCTTAATCTTGCCAATGAGGTTTTGTTTGAGGAAAATTCAGGCAGTCAATTTTCTATCTGAAAAAAATTACTACAAAATTTTTTATTGTTAAAAATGTATTGTTTTAAAAATTTTACCTTTGTTAAAAAAACGTAAAATGTCTTGTGACTTGTTAGATTGAATGTGGAGAGAATTTGACTTATAGACTGCTCCATGACCAAGGGTTCGCATGTTAAAAATTTTGATGTTTTTTTATTTGGTAAAATAAAATTTGCTAGTGTATCGGTACTATTTTGTGAGTTCTAGTCCTTCCAAACTTTGGAGGGAATTGTTCTACACCCTGACCCTGTATTATATCCAAGACATGTATGTAGTATTATTTACACACAACATATTTCAGTTTATTATTAGGCATTTTTATATAACTAATTGTGTTTTTTAAAACTTATCCACTTGCACTTTCATTTATTTTTCTTGTCACATATGCTATTTGAATAGATAATTTATTTTTAATTTTTAAATAGTTGTAACTAAAAAAAATTTAAAAACTGCTTCCTATCTCTCTAAAATCTATAAAAGAAATAATAATGAAGAATTTTAATAGAAATCTCCAAAAAAATAAAAAATGTTTCTTCAAACTTATCATTGAAGCTTTACGCATGAAATAATGAACAATTTTATCAGAATAATTAGCATTTTTAATTTAAAATATTTTTCTATTATCTACTTTAGGTAAACCAGAAGAATTGCCTTTAGCACCTCCCCCTGTTATCCATAAGCTGACAGATAATGAGTTACAAAGGTTAAGGGAGAAAGAAGAAGCTACCTTGAGAGAACTTCGGCTGTTTCTTAGGGATATTGTCACAAAATTAGCTAGAGATAGGCGCTTTTCTGTGTTCTCGAGACCTGTAGATCCTGAAGAAGTTAGTCTTGTTATTTATAAAAAAAATTTAACAACTATCAGTTAGTTTAACTTCTTTCTTGATTTCTGATAATGTCGATGAAATCTTCCAATTTTTCTTGAAAATTTCCATACACTGTATTAACAATATTTCCATTGTATACATAAAAAAAAAATTATCCATTGGAAACATTGTTTATACTGAGAAAAGTCCTGTATCTAGAAGCATCAGAACTTTGGAAAGTCTGAAATACATATTTTTCTGAATAATAAGTCTTTAGGGTAAACAGAGATTGAAACATGCATTACTCCGTAACTAAAATTATAAAGAATAATTACTTAAATTTTTATACAACGAATTTTATGTTATAATTGTAAAATGGCATTTAGTCTGTTGAAGAATGTATGACAAAATAAATATCACCAATAAAAAAAATTGAAAAGAAGGAAAAGATAAGTTGAACTTCCTGTTACTCTCTTTTACTTATATTTTTATGCATTATTTTTGGTCATTTGACGTAAGGATTTTACCTCACAAATATTCAGTTAAAAATTACATTAAAAAGCAAGTTTCAAAATTAAGGAGTAATTCAATCCTATTTATAGTAAATTAAAATGAAATTTAAGAAGAAACAAAATTGAGTAGCTTTTTCATTGAAAATGTTAATAATTTGGTTTCAAAATAAACTTGTGTTTCTGTCAATAGTTTTTATAATTTTTATTCATAGTTTATTCCTTTAAACCAAATTTGTTTTAAGAATAAAAAGCAATAAAGAAGTAAAAGCTCTAAAGCAATATAGAGGAAATGAAGAAAAAAGAAAAATTTTCTTTATTCATAAAATTTTGAAATAAAAATTCACAACTGTGGCAAAAAAATAATTCAAAAAAAAATAATAAATAAATAAATAATAATTCTGAAAATCAGTACTAGGTTGAGAAACTGTGCTGTATTACAAATGTTTTTAAGTTAAAAACATCTTTCAAAGAGCAATTTTCTGAAGCTCTCAGGATGTTGAGCGAAAAATTTCATTGTAAAATTATTCTTAAACAGTTACAGATAAAAAAAAAAGTTGGAAAAAATATGCTTTACTTATTGATAATGAACACGGCAAGGATTTAATTCCTTATTTTTTAAATTAGTTACAAAAGTTAGTGAGGTCACTGTAATGATTTCTCTTTTGACCAAAAAGATCTGTTCTACCTTTAAATAAAATATAATATTATTTAAATAAAATGTGAAGAAAAAATTACCTTCTATGCATTTTATGAAACAAACTGAACAATTTAACTGAGGTTTCTGTTGTCAGTTATGCTATCAAAATTTTTATGCATAATTAGTTTTATATTGTACAATAATCTTATTTATATAAAACTTTGTTATTGACATTTTTTTCATCCATGACAACTTGAACATGTTTTAATCCTTGTCTTCTAAGCATTGAAACATGTTCAAATTATCTGTTTTTAAATGTGACTTAATAATGATTTTTTTTCATCTAAACTTGGTATTTGGTAAGTTTTATTGCTAATTTTGAAAATTATGTATAAAATGACATTTTTACAGCTTTTCACTATCAATATATATTTAGTTCAATCTTTTATCACTCATTTAATTTGGAAACCAGGTGATCTGGACCTGATATGTTTGTTATGCAAAAAAAGTTTCTCCATTCTAGAAAATGCCACTGTGTACATTTCTTACCCTCTCTCAACCTTTCCTAATTTTTTTTCCCTCCAGTTTATTATTTTAAAATGACAGTAAGCAGCTATATTTTATCCTTTTTTAACAGTATGAAAATGGAACTTTTTTAACTTGCCTGCTGTAATTATGTTTTGGTAGCATTACTTTTAAAATATTAAACTAAATGTGAAATGATTTTTAGGTTCCTGATTACCAAGAAGTAATAAAGCATCCCATGGATTTGGAAACCATGATGACAAAGATTGATACCCACCGTTATGAAACCGTTGCTCAGTTTTTGAGTGACATAGACCTATTGTGCCAAAATGCTCTGGAATACAATCCGGATCGGGATCCTTCTGGTAAATGGTCTTAGCTTTCAAGCAGTTTCAATCCAAACCTTTTTATTTTCTTCTCTATTTAATATTATATATTATTAAAAATATCAATAACTGTCTTTAACAACCAGTATAAAAAATATCCCAGGATGGATGTAAGAAAAGCAAAAATTGTTAATGGCATGTTTTGAGTGACTGCTCTCTTCAGTGTTAAAAGTGTACCTAAAGAGGATGCCATACCACAGGAGAAACTTTTAGTCGCTAATTCTCTTTCACTTCCATTACTGACTTAAGTCATAGGGAAAGTAGGTTCAGGTAAACCATGAATCAGATAAGCCATGAAGTTTCAAATACTGAAGAAAAAAAAAAATTTAAAACATAAAAAGGAAAATAAATTATGAGCTGGGAACTTATTATGCAATAGAGAATTTCTCTTCCCATAATTTGTTTGCATTTTGATATTATGAAATTTTTTTTTCAGCAATTGAAACTTCATAGCTTATCAGGAATAATGTATTCCTGGGGTACCCCGGAATTCCAGGTTTTTCGTATTACCCTTCAGTATCTGAAAATTAAGAGTAGGCATATGATTTTTCTGGGAATATTGCAGAATACCACATTTCTCAAGACCATTAGTTCTCGGACTTCCGCTAATCAAAGACTTAAATTCCGACGTCATTTTCACGGAATTCCTCAGTGTAAAATTCAAATTTGAAGCTTTCACTCATTCTCGCTAAAGAGGCACTTGTATACATGTTATTCTCCCGCCAATTGATTCTTTCGATTTGCCGTATTTTTGAATATTTGGAGCTTTGTTGGAATCCGCCAATATCGTAAATCCTATTCCCGCTGTTTGAATATCAAACATTGATTTTTGTATTCGAGATAAGATAGCTCAGAGAAAAAATTTGTGGTGTAGAATAAATAATGAATAATTCTACCAAACATAGTAAAGGATAATTATTTTTAAATATTTTGTTATTAATGTTTCCTGGATTATTATTTTTTCCTGTATTTATCTGACAAATGGGATTTTTATCTTTATAAATTCATGAGGATGTTGAGCTTAAATGAAAATCACTACAATTTAACTTATTCAGTAATTAATTAGCAGTTTTAACCATTTTTGTTACAAATATTTCGTATTTTAGTTTAAATATTATTGTTAAATAACACTTTAAGACAGAGGTGATTATATTTTGGTGTTACACCGCCAATTACAGTATTACTCTCTTTTCAAATACCGAAATTCTCGTATTTCCTGATGAACAAAATTTTCATTTAAAAGCTAATTGCTGTCAAATTTATGTGTATATTACATGCCAACTCTATTAATTTTAACAGGATAGTCTCGTATTTTTCTATTCCCTGGTAATTATCTTACTTTAAAAATCTGATTTTTCTTTTTTCAGATAAATTGATACGGCATCGTGCGTGTGCTTTAAAAGACATGGCCCATGCACTTGTTTTATCTGAGCTTGATGCAGAGTTTGAAAAAATATGCCAGGCAATTCATGCCTCTAGAAAAGAAAGAGGTCAGTGAGACAAATTTGTTTATCTTAATCTGTGGTTCTTTGTTGTTGCTTCTATGCTTGGTTTTTGACCATATAAGTGTTAAAATATTTGACTTATAGCTTTTAAGCTATTTTTTATATAATTATGTTTTAAATTAACATTTTTGGTTAAATGTTTAATCTGGTAATCCTAAATTATCTTATTTATTTATTTTTTTCATAAATGGCAGTACTAAATTGAAATACTTAGTTTAGTGTTGCTATAACATTTTATTTTATTCCAATTTACCTCTATTTGATGTTTCTTTGGCTGCACTGCTATATCAACACCAAATTGTATAGTTTCTTTTTCGCTAGTCTTAGCCTGCCTCTGTACCTTGGATGTTGGTTTTGAGCTAACTTATTTTTGAAAAAATAGGGAGTACATGTCCAATTAAATTTTTGGTAATAGACTTAGACAATGAGATGGCAGAGGAAGGCTTTGGTGTGAGTTTTGTATCAGTGCAGGCAGACAATAAAAGAGAGAAATGATTTTGGAGAAAATTTGGCTCAACCAGAAGAGGGAAAAGATTAAAATCTTATTCCCTTATAGATTTCCTTTTTTTGATTTTTTGCAGTGTAGCTCTGAATTTTTATCTACATGTTAAGTTTTGTGATCTCTCTAAATTAACTAATTAATTCATAATACTTTGCCATCTAGACTATGCAAACTATAAAAGTTTTCTTTGACTTGGCATTGTTATTAATTTTTAGACAAGTCAAACGACTTAAAGGCTTTTGTAATCTGGCAGCATATTAATAAGTATTAAAAGTAGCTTTTTTTTAAAAAAAATTGAATTCTAATTATGTTTTCTGTTTCTAAAGTCTATAGATAGTAACTAAAAAATACTTTTTATCTCAGGATAATTGTTTTTTAGTTTGAAATGCCTTGTAGAGGATTGCATCCTGATCAAACTCCCTGCATTTTCCTTTTTTTTTTTTTTTTTTTTTTTAAATTTATGATCAAAAAATAATTGAAGTACAATTAAATTGTTAAAAAAAATTACCAAAAATTTTAACAATATTCAAGTTTTACTTTCTCAAGATATTTTGAAAGAGTTATTGTAACTTAAAAAAAAAAAGAAAAAAGCTTTATAATTTTGTAAGATATTTGTAACTATCTCGAGAAATATTATTCTCTGAGAATTTTCTGCACTTCTAAATTTACAAAATACCAGATCTGAATTATAAGATCCCTAATATTTAGATATACTTTCTTTTAGTTTCTGTGTATTATTTTAAAACAACGCATAATGATATTTATGGCAACTTATAACTGTAAAATATTTTTAGAAAACTGGGTATTTAATTTTTTCTCTCTCTTCTAGGAGAAAACCCACCCTCCTTCCCATCTCCTTCCAAGCGGCTTACTTCAAGTAGACTAACAATGAGTGCCTCAAATGTGGCTTCTACTTTTAAGAATGAAGCCAATAAAGTATACGATAATCATGTTAATTCATGTGAGAAATCTTCTGAAAAGAAAGAAAATGGTGAGACTTTGTCCTCACCTACTAGGTTCAGTAAGCGCCTGAGGGAACAGGGAACCTCCTCACAAACGACAGAGCATCCTGTTACAAAACCTCATTCACCTCCAAGTATGTCTCTTTTCATTTCTTCCTCCTATTTAATAAATTTCATTGGAAATCAATATAAACTTCAGGTTATGCAATTTATTAATTTATTTACTTGTCATTACAAAAGATAAATACAAGTATATTTATATTTGTTCGTTGTTTATTATTTATCATTTTTTCTAGTGCAAAGTAATTAAATACTTGGACTTATAGCTATTTACTTTGTAATTGTTACAATTATAATTAATAATTATTTTAAGCAATAATCATAAGTACTTAAAAATGCATGCATATTTATTTAATCCGTGCATTATTCATTTAGTTTTTTCATTTCAAAGTATATAAATGCTCTGTTGTACAGTATATTCAGTTACTTGTTTTGCAATCATTGCTTTGAAATAATGGCAAATAATGAGTATGTTTTAATTATTAAGATTTGATACCTCTTTAAAGAAAAAAAATTAAAGTAAATTAATAGTTTGTTACCATCATTTTTTCATTTAATCATTCATTTCCCATACTTAATAATTATTTTGTTTTTTATGTGATGTTTATCTTTTCTTTGTATGATAAATACTTATATGCTCTGAGATATAGAGCTTTCTATAAAGTTTAAGCTACTTTAGTTAAGCAATAATTACCTATGTAAGGTTGTATTAAGTTTAAGAATCTGATTTCTTTTTTTCCAATCAAACAAATCTTAATATATATATATGTGTGTGTGTGTATATATGTATACACTCGATGCAATTTTGTCAAAAAGCAAGCAGCAAATTGCTAGTTACAGAAAATGCAATATCAAAATTCGCTAGTAATCGTTTTCAATGCAACTTTATTAAATACTTGAAATTTGAAAGAGTTATCACTTCAACTCTCTTTACTATTGTAAATCGAGCTGGCCTTCCCATCGTTTTATCATAAGTTATTTATTGCTTTCTTTTCTAATTCCATGTGGTTTTAAAAATTCTGGTATTCCATTAAGATACTATTAGGAATCTTGTGTTTTAAAATCAGTAATAATCGGTTTTTTACTTAATTTTTTCTTAACAAATCCGGCCTATTCTTTTTAGATATTTATTTTTGGGGGGGCCATTTTCCCATGGTTTTCCGAACTCTGATATTTTTAATACAAAGTAATTGCAGCACCTGAAGTTCGAATTTGAGTAATCACTCTTAAACGCCCTCAGTTTATGACAATTCTTCATTTTTCGGCTTAGTCTACATTGCTTATCAAATTCTGATTTTTTTTTTAAACATAATGTTATGACATACTTAATTCATGACTATTCCATCGTTAAACCACATTGTTTTCAGATTTTTACGGTCCTTTCTGCATGATTTTTCAATTAACAACGTTTTTAATACAATGATATTACAGTAACTTTAATGTAATGAAATATATACAGGTAATTTTAGCATATTAACATTTTGACCTTTATATTAGTATAAATATTATATATTAACTATTTCACCAGTAGTGATTGTCTTATTTCTACATCACGGAATGGTATTGCTTTAAAAAACTCTAGTATGAACCCATGTTTTGCTACTAATATTTTGTAGCACTAGCAAACTTTTCCACTGATTTTTGAAAAATAAAATCACGCCCTGTGTTAATATAAAGCAGTTTATTTTGATTATAACTCTATACATTTTTATCTGTTATGAACAGAAGTCCATTTTTCCATTTCAAAATACAAAAATTGTTTCGCAGAACGAGCTTCAAGGTACGTCATTTGGCGCAAACGAAAGAGATCGCCCTGGTATGGTGGCTGCAAACAAAAGCTGATTCGCAGAAAGGTCGTCCGTAATGACCCATCTAAGAAGTCCAAATACTTCTCCAATGCAAAATTCATCAAAACTTCCGATCCCTTGCAACCCACCCAAGAAGAGCTCGATCCCACCGCTGAGCCATCCGCTAGTAGCAGTATGGAAGTGGTCATCTCCAAAAGCGTGGAAGACCGAAGAGACATGTCTGGAACAGACTCTTCTGCCACAGTGGTTTCACCCAAAACGATAGCTATGTATAACGATGCTGACAAAGAGGACAACACTGCAGATGGCAAGACCAGTAACCCTGCTTCACCGTCAAAGCGACACCTTTCCTGTGATATTTCCAATGAGTCTAATTGCTCAAATAGTGTTTTCTTTCATAGCCCACCTTCCAGTTCCATGCACATCTCACCTTCCAAAAGGGTAAGCTTTGACCTTGTTCATCTTTTTTTTAAATTTATTTTATTTAAACATATTTATTGATGATTCATATATATGTATATGTATATTTGTTTTATGTAGCACTTAAACTGGAAATAATTTCTCAGAGTTGGCCAATGTTTCAGTTATCTTGTAACTTTTAAATGGCTTGAAAAAAAGTATTTAAGCTCGGATCAGAAGAAAACTAATTCTTAATTTGACCTATATTAACTTATGCTTCAGACGCAGAAAAATGAGGAAATACTGACCATTTTGTTTTTGTTTTTTTAAAGTATTCTAAAAGAAACAAAAATTATGCTGTTTAGCATAGAAAAACTATTTTGATAACACTCAAACTCTGAAATTTATTAAGTGATCAGGTCGCCTCGTTATGTTGGAAGAGCCCTCTAAAATCTTGTCTCCCAAAAACGCTTCGTAGAGCAATTGGAGCTCTAGGAACCTTCCTTCTGATTACTCATTGAACATGGACTACCTTCAAGCACACTTGCATTGTATTAAACTTGCTGACTCTCCTGACTGCATTTTATGTGAGGAAAATGTAGATATGAATTGCGAGCATGTATGGAACTGTTCCGCCCTCAAAGATGCTCGTAGTTCTTCTTATTTCAAGGAGCTCTCCTTTTCCAAAGATACTTCCGATTTGTATTGGACTGTGTGATTCTCATACTCAAAAGAGCAACTGAATTACGTAATTAAAAAATTATAATAATGTAATAGAAGGAAAATGATGTAACAAAAAGATTTTTAAGGAGAACCATATGGTGCATGAGTTAGAGTAGGGGTGCACAACCTTTTTGAGTGAGGGGCCACATAAACAGCAGATTGACCAATGAAGGGCCGCATGACAAAATATTTAGACAGACATGTTGTTATTAATTGTTATATAAACATCATTGTTCTAGGCACTAAATTCTTTTTGTCAATTAACCTTGTAATATTTTTGCATAAAATTGAATACTTATGTTTAAAATGAGAAACTGCAAAACTGACTACTTCGAAGAAAAAGCAGAATCAGAATCAATTTATCAGATAAAAATTTTAGATAAATTTAAATAATTAAAAATCATGGAAAAATGCAAGTTTTTTTTATCATATTACATATTACAAAAGTCTATTTAAACATAAATTTTAACATTAAAAAATTGCTCATAGAATTAAATTTTAAAATAAATTGTTATTAAAAAAATGCAAGTTAAATACTTTGATTTAAAGAAAGTTTATGGGGTTAAAAATTACTAAAATTAAGACGAAACCCCTTCAGCAAAAAATAAGAATTAACATTTAGTAGGGAATATACTTTAAAACATTTATTTTATATTAATTATAAGAGGCAAGGGCTGAGAAAGGGAAGAAAAATAAAGAAAACATTAATTTTGAAGGAATTCTTTACAACTTTTTGTGACCAATACTTTTTTAAAATAACACTTGCTATTTACAATTACACATATATATTAACAATCAATTAAAATTTACATTATTTTACAAAACTTATCTTGATTAAATCTCTTACAGTTAAAATTTGATGATATACAAATCATTTCCCAGCATATGATCATAAATGATATAAAATGGTCTAAATGGTTATCCTGTAGTTTTTATATATATTTATAATTTTATCTACTTAATCATCTGATAGCTTCTTTGAGTTATTAAATAAAAATTTAAATGATTTTGTTTAAAGACTGCTCTGTAATTTTGAACGGGTCTAATTCATTCTGGAAAACTTTCTTTCGACAGAAGCTGTTGTGGGCAGTATTAAGTTTAGGGCGTTAAACTTAGGTGTGTTATTTTTAAATTACTTGAAAAAAAATTTCTAAAGAGTCGCAATATCGTATAAAAAATATCGGGACTTTCAAGACCTTGTAGAAATGTGTAGCAATAATTGCCAAAACAACAATTGAAAAATAATTTGATTTGCGATAATATCGGCACAAATAAACCACGTCAAAAAATGGTTCGCTAAATTGGCGAATCTTTACTCGCGATTTGTAATAATATCGTGTTCAAATCTAGAAATATTAAAAACCACGCTGAAATGCTTACCAGTAACTGCCGAAAAAAGGATCAAAAGTCATTTAGATTTGCTATTAAGTTAGCTCAAATAAAGCGTTTACAACTTTCAAAAAACGCGATTTCAGAAACTTCGTGAAAATGGGTAGCAATAACTACTAAAAATTCATTGGATTTACTATGAAATCGGCCTAAATGAAGAGCATCAAAAGTGATCAATAAAATTTAAAATTAGTGTATCGTAATAATGACGTATGAAAAATTTTAGGATTTTTAACTAAGTGTTAACTATCGAAAGAAAGCGATCAAAAAACTACATTTGTTGAGATTGGGCGCTTCAAAAACATCAATGCGAAAGTTTAAAAAAAACATTTTTAATTTATTATTTTCATTTCGTTCAGATTGCTGCAGCGGGCCGCACTATGAGTGTTGAAGGGCCTCATGTGGCCCGCGGGCCACAGGTTGTGCACCCCTAAGTTAGAGGAAGACATATCTTGATTACCTTGAGAAAGATCTTAAAATTAAGAACTATGTAACAAAGGCATCAGATGCCAAGATGAAAATCTGTTCTTGAAAAGGCATTATCAATTGGTGCGGAATTGTTTCCTAAAAATTGCTACAACTTTTTTCATAGTTCTGCAATTCTTTTAAGCAGAAGAGAACTATGCAGCCATATATAACTTCACAATGCAGTCATATTGTCATCAGTGTAAAAAACCTTGTGCAAGTTTAAAGTAAACTTTATTCTTAACTTTTTTTTTTCCTTTTGAATATGACTGTGTTTTTCCAGAAAATATTATTCTTCGCATTGAAATTTTGCTTTCTATGTTGCTAAAAAATATTGCTATTTGGCCCCGAATGTATGGTATTCAGCTGATGTTTTTGTCGAATATTTAGTATTCGATCAAATCACAATTAATTACCGCATTGGTTGCCGAAAAAAGTTGAAAAAATAACTTGGATTTACGATAAAACTGTACCGAAATAAAGTGTATCAAAAAGTGAATATATAAATGCGGGGTTCGAAATGTGCATGTCGTAATAATGTTGTAGTTAAATAACGGGATCATCAAAATCATGTGGAAAAGAACAACAATAATTAGAGAAAAAAGTTTATCAAGAAATCACCTAAATTTATGATGAACTCCGCACGAATAAAGCGTGTCAAATGTGAGATTTAAAATTTGCATGTTATAATAAAATTATCGGAATTTTTTATGCTACGTGGGATTGCATAGAAATAACTACCGAAAAAATAGTTGAAAGAAAAGAAAGAATTATTTTTAAAAAATGATAAAAAAATAACTATGATTTACAATGAAACTGGCAAAAATAAAGTGACTATTTAAATAGGCGATTTGAAACTTGTGTGCCGTTATAATATCATAATAAAAAGTTAAAGATTTTCGAAATCACATAGAAAAGCAGAAATAACTGCTAAAAAAATCATTTAGATTTACGATTATAATACTTTAAAGAAAATCTGTTAAACCACACAAATTTATTTGCTATAGATACTGTGAAAATTGAGATTGTCAGAAAGCGATAATTTAAAAGTGCAATTAAAAAGTTTTAAATTTTTTTCATTGTGTTTAAAAGCTCTTGCAAGGCGAGTTTATGTAGTCTGCGGGTTGCAGGTTGTGCATTCTTGATTTAGTTTTTCTCAGAATTTCAATTTTTATCCAATCCTAATCAGTGTGTGTTCACTAGCTAATTTGGTTGCCACATGTCACACAGTAATGATTGTGTAGCATTTTCTGCATCACAAAGTTTTGTAATACCACTTTAAAAATTCTACCTGGTTTTGGTACTAGTATTTTTCAGCACTAGCAAACTTGGCTACTGATTTATAAAAATGAAATAGTGCCCAAATTCTTATAATGTAATAATTTATGAATCTTTAAAAGCAAAACAAAATTTGAGATTTTATGCAAATAATAGAAAAGTCTTTTTTGTAACAAATAAATTGATATCTTGCAACACTTCACTTTCATATTGTTACCCTAAGTATTTTTAGAAGGGCGGTCAGCTGCTCTTTGATCCCTATAAATGTTCGCTTTGTAAAAAATAAGCTGGCATTTCAAAGAAACACTGCTTTTTTATTCACATTCCATTTTGAAAAGAAAAAAAGATTGACTGTTTAAATAATAATTAACACACTAGTGAAATTATCTGCGTTTATAAGTTTCATTCTGATTACAATTATAAATATTTCCTTTGTTAAGATTATTATCAATTGGCTAAATAGTTATCAGTAGCTCTTTTTACAGAAAGGAGACTATATTAATAAATATTTTAATGATTTTAAATAAATACCTTTTTTTTCGAAAAAAATTCACCGTTTAAATTTTAGAAGTTTGTTTATATATATATTTTTTTACTTTACTTTTTTTATTTTTAAAGAAAATTTTGCCTTGAGATTGTCTCTTATTATTTTTAAAAGCAAGTTTTTCTATTATTTTGAAGGAAAGTTATCTTTTAAAATATGCACATATAATAGTATAAGAGGGTAATTCAAAAATTGTAAAGGATCAAATTCAATTATTACGTAATATTACACATTTTTATAAATTTTTACAGTGTTGAGTGCTCTTTCAAAACTCAAAGTGCCCTTTTCTCGTAGAAAGTCCCCTGTCCTTATTTATTCTTTGGATGAACTCTGTCATCAATAATACTTACTCATTTAAATTGTTATACTGATGTGATTAACCTCCTTATTTATTTTTTTAGAAATCAACAATGAGTCCAGAGTCACCTCATTTCACTAGAAGTCAAGGTATGTAATGCTATCTATGCATTAGTTCATAAATGAAATGGGTTCTAATTTTACTCTTGAATTCCCAACATTTCAGATTAGCAGCTTTAAGGGTAATTACAATCTGGGGGGGGGGGNTTGTGAGTGAGATATTTTTGGCAATTTGTAAATAAGCCAATATATATGTAAATTACTCAAGAACCAATCATATGACGGTTAACTAAAATTGTGTTAACCCGAAGGTGACGTCATTGAAAGTGCCATAAAGCCTTGCACATGCCTAGTGCGTGGCAGCAAACAGTATGAATCAACTTAAGTAGCTATTGATTTCGCTTTGCTTTTGATGTTATGACATCATAATTTAAAGCAACAGTGGTTTTAAATTTGGCGTAAAGAAAATGTTATCAGTGCTATTTTAATTCTTAGATAAAATATCATATATCATTTAAACTTAATTTTTATCTTATCTTTAATTTTTTAATGGTTTTAAATCTATTAAAGGAAAAAAAGAACTTCAACTGAAAGAAGAACAATTGAACTCCCTTCATCCAATCCAATGAAGATAATAGAATTTTTATTGCTCATTCTGAATCTATTTTAAAGTGAAAAACTTCTTTCTTGATTTTATAGGACACCTATGCAAAACTGTTCTGTCAAAAGCTAGATTTTTTAAAAGTTTAATTTAAATTACACAAAAAAATTAGCAATAAACTGTCAAAAACTCCTTTAACTATCTCAAGCTAGAATGTGTAGTTTGGTTTTACTTCATGCAATGCTAAACGGTTAAGAAAATGGCAAAAAAAAAAGTTACTAATTTATCTGTAGATTTTAATTGAGGTGAGGATTTTTAAAAATACTTAATTATTTCAAATTGTTAAGTAAATACTATCTATTAAATATACACATAATTTTAGTTTACAAAGTTTAGACATTTATGGAATATATGAAATTCATCCATGTAAAGATTGTGTATATTTATAAATCCCATAATCTTTTTTATTTTTGATACTGAACTAAAAGTGAAATGTCAGTAATTGATATAGTTAGATATTTAAATTAGATGTTTCCCAGATTGCCACCATGCAGCTTTAGTGCGGCTTCAATAAACTACTATGTACTTTTTTTAAATTTATGTACAGCAGGGTTCCCACGGTCCTTAAAAGTACTTAAAAACTGCTTAATTTTTATTTTGGAAAATAAGGACCCTTAAAAGTACTTTATTTTGGTTCAAGATTTTTAAAGGTCCTTAATTTTTTAGCATCACTATGGTTGATAGCAACAATTTTTCTGTTCAATTTTTTAAAACAAAATAGAGTTCTTTTATTACTTAGAATTAGACCACGCATCGAGGGTAAAGCATTTTAGGGAGACAAAAATTAATGTGTGTAGGGGGGGTACAGACAAGGGATGAAGACTTGTCGTTTCATTAATATATTGGCTTTTTCCTTAATATATTCTGCCCTTTGCCTAGAATGATACTCTATGAGAACAGAGAAGCATTCTAAAAGAAAAGAATAGTGTGGACAAGGGGAATATTGCACATGGAAGAGATAGTGTTTTTTTGGGGGGGGCAGGGGTCTGTCCAGACATTTTGTGAAAGGTCCGTTTTTCGTGAAATTGTGAAAAAATTACTCACATTCTTTCAACCAGGGTTCGCTTTTATGAATTTGTGCAAATAGAGTCCGTTATTGCAAAAAAAAATTCAAGGAGTTTTTAAATTGTATAGACATACAAGATTATGTTCAACACTGTAAAATTGTAATTAAAAAAATTAAATTTTAAAAAATAAAAAACAATTGCTCCTTCTAAATTAGAGATGCAACATACAAATAGTATTTGGTATTTAGCCTATACTGCTGAACGCAGAATATTCATTTCGGACGAATAATGGAAGAATCGTCTGCCGTAGACAAAACTTAATTCGTTTACATCCATCTTTCTTNTGGAAGAGATAGTGTTTTTTTGGGGGGGGGTGCAGTTTTAAGGACCTTCAAAATTGACAGAATTCAGGAAATTCTGATTTTTTTAAGAAGGTAAATAATTAAATAATTTGCACTGTCACTGGTGGCATATGCATATTCAATGATAGACATAAACAAAAAGTCCTTAATTTCTTCAAAAAAAGGTCCTTAAAAGTGCTTAATTTTTGCTTTGTTGAAAGAGTGGGAACCCTGTACAATAAATGCATTTGAAAATCTAAATGTTATAATTACTTTCAGTGTTAATAGATTTGGTCAGTTTAGAAAAGCAAATTCTACATGCCCTGTCCAAAACCCTAACCTTGACTAGTGATTCTTATTCAATGAACTATACAATCTTAAGAACTAGTAAAATTACTCGATGGGGCTAAAAGGAGTTCGTTTGATTTTGTAGGTAGCTTAGATCCAACGACCTCTAGTGTTAGACAGAAGGTGTTGATAGACACAGCTGCCTTGGATGCATTCATATCACATCTTGTTAGAATCACAGAGGATTATACAGTAGAAAAATTGTTACAGCTCTATTCAGTACTGCAGCAATGTGTATACAAGCATCGAAAACAGTTAGATAAGAAAGAGTTATTAAAAGTAAGTGTTAGTTGTTGTATGTTCACTGTTTACTAAGTAAATATCTATAATGTATAATTATTAAGTAAATATTTATTATGTATAATTGTTTTTAATAGGAACTAGAAAGAAATTTGGAATCTTTTCTACGATATAAACCATCCTAGTCTTTTTTTCACAAAGCCTTATGCAGTTCATTGAAAAGTGTACAGTATACTGCCGAGAAAACACTGCCCAGGTTTTATTCCATTATTTTAATGTGATTCTTTTGTAGCATATTTATTTACATAATATTATATATTTTGAATACATCTAGAAAAAAGATTGCATTGTAGATATACATCTTAACAGGATCACCTTTATTTATGTTTTCATTGTTTCACATCAATTTCTTGTAAAAAAAAAATTTCCTGTTGAAATGTGTTTTAAGGTATGTTTTCTATCTATATTCATTGCCATATGATTGGTTGAAATCAATGTCATAACGATCATGCCCTATCCTTATATTGTGAGTGAGATATATGATAATCTAACCTACCTAAATAAGGTAACATCAATATGTATATATTACCTGAATCTAACTCTGCAGATTTAAAGACAAATTATCTTTTTTTTTAATACTAATTACTGGTGTTATAAAATCTTTCGTACTAATTACACTGGCATACAAATATCAGGATTTTTTAAAAAATCACTTTTACTTCTGAAAGATTATTTAGCATGCATTAGTTTTGTGGAATTTGGTATGTAAATAAATAAAAATTTTATTCTTTAAAATATTCATAATACTTTCAATTTTTTTCAAGGCTAAGAGAAAAGCAGAGCTCAAAGTTGTCCTCAAATGTTCTTAATTATTAAACATTTCAATAAATGTTCTGAAATTTTTGCATTTTTCCAAATTTTTGTATTAGTTACCAGGAAGAATAAATATTATTTATCTAAGAAATAATTGACGAAATTTAAACCTCAAAGATTATATTATATCCCATGAAACAAAAAGAACGACAAAGTCTTCATAGCCCGTCGAGTAGGATATTTATCTACTTCCAGTGTTAGAGATTCTTACCCCTGATTTGATAGCATAAAAGCATTTGATGAAAATCCAGTGTTATTCTTTTTTATGCTCAATGTATTAGTAAATTATAAAATAATAACAATAATTAATAATAAATATCAATTTTTAATAAACAGTATTAATTAATTATAAAATATAATATAGCTGAATTTCATTCACTCATAAAATGCGAAGCATTAATTTTAAAGTTCAAAATTTCTTTTTAATAATTAAAACAGAAGCAGTCTCTTTCTAAATTGTGTTTCAAAATTAATATTTCTCAGAAATCCTATTACAAATGAAAGGTTTAATTAATAAATTTTCTGTGTTAATCGCAAGGGTTATATGCTATTATCTTGACTGTCAGCATTTTTCACATAAAATTATCGATACTCTGATATCTAGTTTTGAACAGTTTAAGATAAAAACATTAAGAGTTGCTATTTTTTATTTTTTTTATTGTTATTAAATATATATTTTAAAGGCATGCTTTCATTTTAATAGTAAGAGTTTAATATATAATTGTTCTATTGTTAGTTACTAAAATTTCTCATTGTTTTAGCATTACCTGAACAAAATCTAGATATTGACAATGGAGTTTGGGGCAAAAGACTTTAAACTCTATTATCAATATCTCGGTTATTATCCATTATTTGAACCCCCTTTGAATAAGGAGGTTCAAATAAATGGTGCTACCTTTAGTATTTATTCAAGATTTTTAAAAAATTTAAAAAAACATAGTGAGTTTTAGAAATAAAAAAAGCTTTCCTTCAATTCTCCATGTTCTAAAATGAAATCTTTACTTTTACAAATGCTTTAAAATTAAACCTATAGAGTTCTGGTGATTTTTCCTAACCCTAGTTTTTGTGTGCCAGTTTAAATAATTAAACTAATTGGTTCAGCTGTTAGTTAAATTGATAATAAATTCTATTATGTATGTAACTCATGTTACGTCATTCATGTTTAAAAATAAATTTCTATTTAGCCGATTTGTTTTATTATGTTTGTAGCTCAATACTTTTTTACTATTTTTATCCAATTTTTAACGCAGTATATATTAAAACATTAAGCTTTCAACTGTAGTTACTAAATTATGCTTATTTTTTTCATTAAATTTGAGTGACTTTCTTACGATATTCCTTGTTGTTCCAATTAATAAATACCATTTAGTGGCATAAACAATTCAATTTAAAATAACATCAGTAATTAGAATTTAATTTTGAAAATTGCCAAGCTAGTCTCTACATATTTGAATACATAATATATATACATAATATATAATACTGTTTGTGGTCATGTGATGCAGTTTGTGTATTCATTTATACCAAAATAAGTTCAGAAACTTTTTAGTAAATACTGTACTATGGTGGTTAGAAAGCTGCAATGTTCGTATGAAATCTATTGTTATTAGAGTTTGCTTAAATAAAACTATTAAATGCCTTAAAAATACTGTATATGACTCAGTAAAGAAATCCTGCATTTTTAATCAAAGCAAAGATATTTATTTTATTATTCAGAAAAGATATAACTGTTATAATTTGAAATTTCTCCTCTTTTTGAAATATATTCAAGGCTGTTGAATAGTTTTTTAAAATGCTGTTAGGGATGAATTTGTCTGCTCACAAAAGTTTGCTGATTATTTAAATGCCTTTAATTGGTAAAAAATCAAATTCAGGAATTAAATGTTTGTAGTAGCAATTAAATCTGTTACATACTTGTGAATTCTTGTCTATTCATACATCACTGCCATTTACAAGATGAACTATAAAGGGGTTTTTTTATACTCATAAATATTTCCCTATGCTTTGTATGTATGTGTGTATATATATATACATGCATACATACATTAATTATTCAGCATCTGTCACTGCCATTTTGTTGACAGCCATTGCTAACAAATTCATTTTATTTGTACCACGTTTGCACAAATATGTGGAATATTCATTCCATGTGAATTAAATAATTTGTATCATACTGTACAGCGTATCATACATTCTTTCATAAATATTAATACAGATATTCTCAAGTTATGATATTCATTATTTTAAATGTAAACTGCAATACTGATAAATTTTAATGCTGTCAAACTGCTAACGGCAATTTGTGCACTTATTGCAGCTCGGTAGTTTTAACAGCAATTTTCCTTAAGGAAAAAAAATTCCTTAATATTTTAGTATTGTAATTAGTATTAAATCATATTTAATAGATATTTTCTTTAAAAAAAAATTTTTTTTTTAATTATTTTTTGCGAAAAAAGATTTTAGTGTTTAGTTTTATCTGTAGTTGAATTGAAATTATGTTCTTCAGAAAAAAATTAGGTCTTTTATTGGTAGTTGTATTGGATTTACCAGTTATTTTGATGAGGTCTTTAATTTTATTGGTTGTTGAATTGAAAAAAAAAATTTTTGGTCTGTTATTAGTAATTGAAATGGATTTGCCAGTTATTGTAATGTGGTCTTCAATTTCTTTAGTAGTTGAATTGAATATTTTTTTCACTTCAAAAGAAAGTAGAATTTGAAATAACCTTGTTGCTAGTGATCTCATTTACAAGTTGTAATTATTTTGTTAATTAAATTAACTCTTCTAATTGTCCTGCATGTAAAATTTTGCCATTAATGTCCTGTTTGTAGATGATTGGTCAGAATTCTAGAAAGAGATCAGCGTCATTTTCAAACTTTTTCTAGAGGAGAAACTACTTTCTGTTCCATAGAAAAATGGTCGTTAATAGAGGTTTGTCTTAGGGGTTACCTCCAATGACTTCAAAATGTTATCAAAGGTACATGACAATTTTAAATTTAACTCAGTGTCATTTTTTGGTGCGGAAATGCCATTTGTGTTGTCGTCAAAATTTAGCGTCAATAAAAATGATCTTTACTTATATAATTATGTGTAAAAACAAATTTGACGCCCGGTGGCTGAGTGGTAGCGCATCATGCTCCCATGCCGCAGGTCTTGGGTTCGATCCTCGGGCCGGGCAAGGTTGACTCAGCCTTTCATCCCTTCAATGGGTCGATAAATGAGTACCAAGCATGCTTGGGAACTAACACTGAAGGTTCCGCATTCGGCTAACCACCTGAGCGGAACATCTGCTCCTGCACCCCAGAGCCCAAGGTCAAGAAAACTGAGATAGGCACAGTAGGCCCTAGCCCTCTATAGGCTGTCGTGCCACTGAGTTTAGTTTTTAGTAAAAAAATTTTTACCAATCATGAATGATTGGACTATTTTAAATGGATAAACAATTATGTTTTAATTTGTTCAAGTTTGTATTTGATATTATATCATAAAAAATAGTTAGCTTTAAAAAATGAAAAGATGCTTATTTGTTTGAGAAGATAAGTTTTTTCTCAAATATTTTTTTTCTAACTTTCAATTAAAATAAATCATTGATAATATTGTCTTTAGTGCACTCAGGTCACTGGTGCGGGGGGGGGGGNGGGGGGGGGGTTGATGGTCTCTCCTAAAGGTTTTCTTCAACACTGAGTCTATAGAAAAAATCTGTGCCTCCCAAAAGTTAGTCGCAAATAGAGGAAGTTGCTACATAGAGGTGGTCTTTCCGACCTACTGTATATATAAATTCTTTAACCTAAAACATATTCCTTATCCAGATAATTATATGACTAATTATCTTATTATAAATAACTTAAAATTAGTTAGAAATGTGTATTAAGATGTATTATAGAATAATAATTAAATTAAAATTGGTCAAAAATAAACATGAATGTAATATAAGACTTCACAAGGTGACACCCTACATGCATTCAAGTGGGAGGGATTTTTTGAATAACTTTTTTACATCACAAAAATTCTATTTGTGTTAAATGTGTATAATGTACATTTCTTTTGGGTGGTGTAATGTACATTTCCTTCAAACAATTCCTGCGCACCCAAAAAAAATTTAGATTCAAATAATTTTTTTAATAAAAAAAAAAGAAGGATAGTTAGAATTTTTTATATGCGTGTGAAGCTCTAATGGCAGGATTTTACATGCTTGACTTGACATAATTTTTTATGTAATTAAAGTGTCACTCTTATGTGTTATGTTTTTGTATTTATTGTTTACATATTAATCATCTAATTTATTCATACAATATATTGATATCTTCTTTTGTATAATAGCTCATGATTACTTTCATAATTCTTCTATTGTGTATAAATATTTTTCCTAATTTTTGTATCTAAGTTATTAAAAATTTATTTAGTTTTGCTTTATATCTCTTACCTAATGTGTTTCATATATTCTTTTGTTTTATTAATTTTATTTGTATTTAGCGTATATTTGTTTATTATAACGATGTCAAATTTTTCAAGAATTATATAAAAAGCTTAAAAATTAATTAAGATTTAAACTGAACTAGTTACATAATCTCTCAAAGTAAGGTTTTCTGTTGAATTGAACTATAAGTACCCATTTAATTTATCGGCTTAGATTTTCTAAAATTATGTTCTCATTCTTTAAAGAAATGAGTATTCAATTTCCCTTTGAACGACAAATGAATTATTATATCATTAATAATAATATATATAAAATTGTGGAAATATATTTAATTCTTATTAGTGAATATAGTTTTTGGTTTTTTTCTCTTAATTAAATTAGGACTCTAATATGCTAATTAGCAGTATATACAGACATTATATCAAGAAATATCAACGTCTATTCAACACACTTTGTAATGAATAGTGTTAAAAGTATGGGGTTTTTTTTTGTTTTGTTTTTTTTTCAAACAAGTTTTAAGCGTTTTCAAGCGTATTTAACTATTGATCTAAAATATGTTTTTTCATTATTACCTAATTAAAATTTAGTAGAGATATTTATAGACTTAACTAGCTTGAAAGTCAAAATATTTTCATAGATTTCTAAGGTTTTCATTTCTCTAAATAAGGATAAATTTACTCAAAATATTATTTCAGTTATATTTTAATAATTTGAGAATTTATGATGTCAACATAACAGAAAGTGTTACTTTATATTTTTCCTTTTGCCTATTAACCTTTATTTGTATTTTATTCTTATTAAATTCACACTAGATTATAAAATGTCAAATAATTTGAAACTTATGTTAGAAACTATATTCTATGGCATGGTGCTACTACTGTACATCATAACAAGGCAAAAACGATTACAAAGGACTTTAAACAAATTTGTGAGTCTGTTCAAGAAATCCTTTGTTAAATATTTTTATTAAAAACATATTTTTGCTCTCACTCCTAAACAGGTGCTGTTAATATTGATAAATCAAAGTTATAGGTTGATTACTAGTACTGGGTGATATTGGAGTTTTAAAATTGCAATGTATCCTCAAAAAATATGGATTTTTAACGATATATTGCAATATTTTCTATTTGAAACTCATTCACACTTTTGTTAATGTCATATTCAAACAGTACATTATTGATGATATGCACAAAAATATCTCATTTGATATTTATAAACATTGTTATCATGATGTTTAAGAAATATTGCCCAGCTGTGTCCTAAGAATATTTTTAGCATTACGCTAGTGCTGCACTGTGCAAAAAATGAAAATTTGTCTACATCAGGGATTAATGCAGCATATGGAGTTCTGTTTTTGAAAAATTAATTCTCAGTTTAAATTCTATTGTTGTTTATCACATATAGAGTAGTTTTTCTTACAAACTATATTATGCTTATGCTACATGTATATACTAAACTGTTAAATAACTTATAAAAGTATATATTGTCTATTTTTTTAACTGATACTTTTCTATGCTGAAACACTGTGTTTTCTAAGACCTTATTAAATGTGCTAGTTTTATTTAAAAAAATAAATAAATTTAAATGAAGGTTATTAACATATGTATTATTTACTGTGTTTATATGTCGATTTTTATGAGAGCTCAGAGCAGATAGTTGAAAGGCAAGTTTTGATTCATAATTTTTATTTATCTACAAGAGTTAATTTATATTACAAATGTGTTAAGGAGTGCATTATAAGAACCAAAAAAAAATTTTTTTTTAATTGATATCCGCTTTTTTTTNTTTTTTTTTTGTTAATACAACAAAAATATTATTTATTTGCTAAACCTTTGTGTTATATATTATGTTAATTGTGTTGTAATTTTTTAATTTGATATTTTTTATAATATTTTCTATATATACATAAAAAGGTTTTATTTAAAATTTATTTAACTAATCTGACTTTCTATGTTGCTGTGAAAGATAAATATAGATATTAATCTCAAACTATACAAGAACTTGTAAGCCGTTCAGTTTTCCATTAATAAAATTATATTGAAAAATATTAAAACTATTTATTCTAACTAAACATTCTAAAAGTAAAAATAGTATATATATATA